CACCGGTTGTATCCTGTGTACGTGGAGAATAAACTTTGAAACTTAAAACTTGAACTTTCAATACAGACCAGATCTGGTTGTTGGGCTCCCCTGGTGGGCCTGCTTGGAACATGGGTGTACGTCCCAAATTACACCCCATTCCCTATTTAGTGCAATACTATACAGGGAAGAGGGTGGCATTTAGGATGTAGACTGGGTATGTGAGGGTTTTTATCTGAAGGTTTTACCAAAGATTTTGTATTACTAAATCAAGAATGCAATGGGGGCATTGGCAGGGGCTCTTGTTCAGTGCCACTTTGACTATGCATGGTCTTCCTGGTACAATAGTGCCCCCAAGATAATAACAAATGAGTCAGGATTATTCTTAAACTTCCAGCCCTTACGTATCTTGACTATTCCCACTTTGAAAGCCTTAGATGGCTCAAAGTGGAGGAGAGAGTCTCTCAGTTTAAATTGTGTCTTGTACATAAGATTGTCCACGGTATGGTCCCCAGGTACCTATGTAACTACTTTAACTTGGTACGGGATAACCCTAACTATTCTACTAGAAGGAGTGAAACTGACGCTGTTCCTTTTAGATTTAAAAGTGGTATGGGGAAATACACTTTTTTATACTCAGCTGCCATTCTTTGGAATAGTCTTCCGAAGAATTTGAAACTTATAACCTCCATAGGTAGTTTCAAGTTCTCACTGAAAGAATGGCTAAATAGTAGCATGTCTCAAAAGTGAGTGGTAAGATTGTAGTATGTGGCTGAGAAGGAAAAGCCTGGGATAGAATATGGTCTGCCTTTTGGTGCCTAGTGTTTATCATTTTGTGATTGTCTTGTATATATTAGGTATTGATTGTTTTATATACACTGCTCAAAAAAATAAAGGGAACACTAAAATAACACATCCTAGATCTGAATGAATGAAATAATCTTATTAAATACTTTTTTCTTTACATAGTTGAATGTGCTGACAACAAAATCACACAAACATTATCAATGGAAATCAAATGTATCAACCCATGGAGGTCTGGATTTGGAGTCACCCTCAAAATTAAAGTGGAAAACCACACTACAGGCTGATCCAACTTTGATGTAATGTCCTTAAAACAAGTCAAAATGAGGCTCAGTAGTGTGTGTGGCCTCCACCTGCCTGTATGACCTCCCTACAACGCCTGTGCATGCTCCTGATGAGGTGGCGGATGGTCTACTGAGGGATCTCCTCCCAGACCTGGACTAAAGCATCCACCAACTCCTGGACAGTCTGTGGTGCAACGTGGCGTTAGTGGATGGAGCGAGACATGATGTCCCAGATGTGCTCAATTGGATTCAGGTCTGGGGAACAGGCGGACCAGTCCATAGCATCAATGCCTTCCTCTTGCAGGAACTGCTGACACACTCCAGCCACATGAGGTCTAGCATTGTCTTGCATTAGGAGGAACCAAGGGCCAACCGCACCAGCATATGGTCTCACATGCTCTGGACACTACGCTGACAGACACAGCAAACCTTCTTGCCACAGCTCGCATTGATGTGCCATCCTGGATGAGCTGCACTACCTGAGCCACTTGTGTGGGTTGTAGACTCCGTCTCATGCTACCACTAAAGCACCGCCAGCATTCAAAAGTGACCAAAACATCAGCCAGGAAGCATAGGAACTGAGAAGTGGTCTGTGGTCACCACCTGCAAAACCAGTCCTTTATTGGGGGTGTCTTGCTAATTGCCTATAATTTCCACCTGTTGTATATTCCATTTGCACAACAGCATGTGAAATGTATTGTCAATCAGTGTTGCTTCCTAAGTGGACAGTTTGATTTCACAGAAGTGTGATTGACTTGGAGTTACATTGTATTGTTTAAGTGTTCCCTTAATTTTTTTTTGCAGTGTATGAAGGGTATGTGAGACAAGGGAGATGTACCTGTCCATAGTTGTTTATTAGGAAAGGGAATTGTACTAATTATCTCGTTATGAAACAAACAACAATTTTGTCTGTCATTGTCTGTTGCCACTACAATTGCCGCCTAACCTTGCTGCATCCCCCTTCCCCCTTCCCTCTTCAAAAGGACCACAATGGAAATAAGCTTTTAAGCTTTATTGTGTTATCCTTGATGATTTTCTTAAATTGTATGTGGAGGTGTCACCGGCTGGAGCGCTCTTATGTGTGTATTTTAAAATTGTCAAATAAATTCAATCAATCAATCAAAGCCTGTCGTTTCCAATGGGAACAAATGAGTCATAGTGGGCAGAACAAGCAAGGAGGTGGGCAGAGCCAAGCATGAGCTAGCGAGATCCTATTGGCGCGTTCTTGTATCATCTGCATATATCCGTTAGGGAACGCCTCCTCTGAGAAGGGCGCGTGTGCAATAACTCAATTCGACCTTTGCACTCCTTCTAAACAACGCGATTTTTAATAACTTTTACAAAGGGTAAAGTCTACAAAACTTAGTCCACTCTGCTCATAACATATTCTAGTTTTGGAAACAGAAAACTGTATTGAGATCAAATGATTAATCGATGAGAAAATGTGAAGAATGTCGGCCAAAATCCATCTCGTTCCATCTTCTCTCACTGCCGGCCAGTGGGCTTCCTCTCACTATCATATTTGGTAGTGAGTGGAAACGCCAAGCTGTTGCTTCACATTTATATATCCGGTGAAATATCTGTCTCATTGTTCTATCTGTGGTTTTACTGCTCCAACCCTACCTGGACTGTGACAATGCTGCCATCTAGTGGTTTACAAGGGCGTCGCACCAAAACTCCTAAATAAAATTAATTTGAAATTGCTGATTGAGTTTTAAATAGGCTAATCATAAATAATCAGTTGTGGGTATCAATAGACCTTTCCAAACCAATGTAAAAGTATGACATACTCAAACACACATTGCAAACACATTTATTTTGTTGTGTAAAGAGGACCGTACAATGATGCCACGAGGCAGATAGGATAGGATTGCACTACCACCTTATTGCCAGGTACAAGCTGATCAAGTTTACAGAGACTGAAGAAGTCAGCCAAGTGCTGGTTATATCAAGTAAACACAGATACAAAAGAGACAACTAGAGACCACTACACATATTCTACACACAAACACACACACACGCACACCCCTCCATCCTTCATTCAAAAGGCACACTTGACTTGGGAGGACATATTGTATTTGTGTCTCTTCAAATCAACTGAGACATTAGCTGTTGTCTTGTCTGAATATTTTATTAATGTACTTCAGTGCAAAGGCCTACTGTAAGTGTTTTAACGGTTGCTCCCATAAGAGCTCTTATTTGTCTCATCATGTGTCTCATGGGTTATTATGATGTTCAGGACAAAGCTGGGTATGAACCAGGGTTGGGGTCAATTCCTTTTCAATTCAGTCCATTATGGAACTAAATTTTTTTCTCAATGCTTCTCTATGAGAACATTTTGGAATTTGAATTTACTTTCAGAATTGACTGAATTGAAATGGAAATGGCCCCAACTCCGGTATAAGCTACCTTTTTCTCTGGTATAAGATACCGGTTTCTCTGGTGTACGATACCTGTTTCTCTGGTATAAGATACCTGTTTCTCTGGTATAAGCTACCTGTTTCTCTGGTATAAGACACCTGTTTCTCTCTTTGGCATTTTCTCAACCTGCTGTTCATTTTTGTACTTATTATTTTGGCTTCATGAAAACAGTGAACAGCTCAAACCTTGGAGGCAATACTTCAGACAAGTGGGACACTAACTTTTTATATCTCTACATACTGTATAATGGTGCCAAACCATACAATGTTTTCTGACTCTTAAATTCAGCCCTATTGTAAACATTTTTGAATTATGAAAATTTATAATGTTTTAGGGACCTAGACTACCCCAATGTTTTAATCAATATGTGCCTTTCTTAATTGCCCTTAAGGGGATAAATAATGTTGGACTGAATTGAATACCTCTACTAATCACTCCACTAGAGCAGGTAAACACAGCTGAGTGATCAGAGCCTGGATAAACCTCAGGCAGGATAAAGGCCCACTCATACTAAGTCCTTGCCTGTATTTTTAGCACGCTGGCCTTCTCTAAAGTGATTCGGATGAACAGTAGTATTAAGGTTGAGAGGGGACAGGGCAGGGTGGGTGAGGGGGGAGAGGGGTTGGAGGAGCAGGCGGGGCATACACAGAGCCCTGAGGGGGATGCTGCCCGTCTCTAGCCTGGCCTGTCCTCTCTCATTTAGCACACTGGTGTGGAGTCAGAGCAGAACTCTTGGGCTCCACAGCAGAACAGAGTCAGTCTGGTTTTACATAGAACACATGCTTGTGTATTGTCAGTAAACCCTACACTACAGTAACCTATCAAGCAAAACCTTAACATCTGGATATGATTTGCTTCACCCACATACGCACCTTTAATTTATTCACACTCACCCACACAAATTCACTGATTCACATACAGCCACACAAAACACACAAGGGACGAGACAGCAGATAGAAAGGGCTGCAGTTACAGTATGCTGATGATGTAAACACAGTGAGATCACAGGAGGTTGGTGGCATCTTAATTGAGGAGGATGGGCTCGTGGTAATGACTGGAGCGGAATCGGTGGAATGGTATCAAATAGATCAAACACATTTCAGCCATTATTATAAGCCGTCCTCCCCTCAGCAGCCTCCACTGAGTGAGATCCAGGCCTGTATTCATACAGCATCTCAGAGTAGGAGTGCTGAACTAGGATCAGTTTAGCCTTTTACTTCATAAGGAATAAGATAACATGGACACTCCTACTCTGAGACGTTTTTTGAATACCGGCCATTGACAGGTCAGGTTAGGGCCCATATTCATCAAGCGCCTCAGAGTAGGAGTGCTGATCTAAGATCAGTTTCTAGGATCAATTTTGCCTTTTAGATTATAATGAATGGACAGGGGGGACCTGATCCTAGACCTGAACTGTTACTCTGAAATACTGCTTGATACATACAGCACCTGGTCCAACCCAGCCTGTCTAGTCAGTGTGGATGGTCAATGAGGCAGCTCCTGCATCACCTCTTTGGCCAGCTGTGTGATGAGTCGCCAGGCCTCGCGGACGTGGCGTGACTCGGTGGTGCGGGCGCAGATGGCGAAGCGCAGCACAAACTGACCAGACAGCTGGCACGGCACCAGGTGGATCTTCCTGCCATTGTTGATCCTCTTCAGCAAGGTCTCGTTCACCTCGTTGGAGCCCTTTTAGGAGGAAAGGTCTGATAGATTTTGTCCCAAATACCACCCTATTACCTATATAGCCTATAGGGCTCTGGTCAAAAGTAGTGCACTATATAGGGAATAGTGTGCCATTTGGGATGTAACAATAGTCTAATAAGAAATGGATGCCGGCAGTGTGTACAATACATAATAAGCATAGGTGCAAAAACGTCAACTAAAAATATATACCATAGACCTAAAGATAAATAGTTTTAGTCAAGTCCAAAGATAGATGATCATGTGTTGAACTAACATTCACAGTTGGCTGAATTGTCTTACCTTTAGTCTAAAGCAGACCAGCCCCAAGACGACGTCTGCGCTGATCTCAAAGCGCTGGTCAGCGCGAACCAGGCTCTCAAACTCTTTGGCCAACTCCACATGCTGTGAAAGCAGAGAGACAGTCATTAATTTATACTTAGACAGCCTTCCGCTCAAGTCTGAGGTGCTGCTGATTGAAATGGGTTAAGGTGAACTTCTTGATATGGACACTAGGTGGCACCCTAGTAACTTAATTTGAATGAATCATTTTTCCTGGAGGTTGTTGTCCTTACAGCAGGTAGCTAGCTTGCTGTTGGTGCTGTTGTAATAAACCTTTTTTTTTTCCAGCAAATGCTGAAACTATGAATAGTAGCTACATTGTCTTTAATGTTCATTTACCCTTGAGAAGGGCTCCAGGCTCAACCAAAGGGGCGGCAGGTAGCTTAGTGGTTAAGAGCATTGTGCCAGTAACCGAAAGGTCGCTGGTTCTAATCCCCGAGCCGACTAGGTGAAAAATCTGTCGATGTGCCCTTGAGCAAGGCACTTAACCCTACTTGCTCATGTAAGTCGCTCTGGATAAGAGCGTCTGCTAAATGACGTAAATGTAAAATGTAATGACAACTATTAGACATGTGAAAATACTACATAAACATTGAAGCACATAGCCCTATCCATACACCTTCCTGAATCTAACAGAAAATGCCTTGTTGTTTAGTATTCCCACGCAACCAGGGATATCTCAGTTTTAGTATGGAAATTAAAAGCACAAGTTCTTTGACAATGAATCTAGTCATAAAAGGTCAGTATTAGCCCAAAGGCTGGCAGATGGCGATATTGAGTCATTTCATCTTACTGTCCAAAGAGGATCTACAGTATGCAGCCGGCTATACACTTGTATCCCCCGTGGACCGGCTCGTACATAAAACATTCTCCATTCAGGCTGCAAAGGCATTGATTTCCTCCTTAACTTGATTTAGTGGTGACAAAATGGTGACTAATGCTACTTCCTGACATTGCCTACAGTGTTCAGACCAATGGTAAACAACAGTCTGCTGCAACCTGATTGGCTGAACGTGATACGCAACATCCAGGAATTGCATCTAGCCACTCTAGCATGGTGGTGGAAAGTATGCATATTTTCCCCGTTTTTTTTTGGCCTTCTCGCCATTAAATAAAGTTAAGGAGGAAATCGACGCCTTTGCATTCTGAATGGAGAATGTTTTATGTACGAACTGGTCCACTGGGGATACAAGTGTATAGCCGGTTGCATAGATTCCCTTTGGACGGTAAGATGAAACAACTCAGTATCGCCATCTGCCGGCCTTTGGGCGAGGTCAGTATGTACTTTTATGTTTGGACGAAGATGTCCAGAAATCTGAAGAAAATAACCATGAAATAGTCATCAAACTGTCCAACCTTCCTTGGAGGGAAAGCTCCAAGCTAAATATCATGTCCTCTTCCAGCTCACCCTGTTCAAACTCTTATTCACCACAGTATTAAACATGTAATCCATTCACTAATTATCAAAGTACCCTGTGTATGGCATTGAATGCTTAATGAGAATCGAAACGTGTATCATTGCATGTAATCACAATTACACAGTAGTACATGATGATGTACAGTATTTGTAACCAAAGGCTGAGTGAGAACAGCCAGGACAGGACTATTAGTAATAACTCCAATGCCAACTCACTCATTAATGAGGCCAAAACTCTGGTTCTAACTATGATTATTAGCTGACCACTCCACTTCTTCATTCCCAGCCAGTAGGTCACCACCACTATGAGGTTAAATGGTCCGTGTGTGTCCACTATAATTAACTTACTATTCGTATGTCTATTCAGAAACTGTATGCTGTTGTACCAAGATGATAGGAAAAGCCCCATACAGAGACATTTCCGTTTCTATGTCATCTGAGCTACGGTAGTCATTGTTGAATAGCACTGTTTTGTAAAAAGACAACTGTAGCCTACATATAATTGATTACAAACATGTCTCTGCTTTACTGGAGTTTTTCTATCTAATATAGACAGTAGATGAATGCAGTATGGCTCAGTGTATGGCTGGAGGCCTTATGTGTTGCTGCTGCTTGTGCTTCATTTACTGGTAGAGCTAGACAGACACAGACCAGGCTGATTTGATTGACAGACAGAGACAGAGGAAGGGAAGGGAACCAAAGCTGTTTATGTGCTTTGCTGTTACCTTACGGATGTAGTCCTGAAGGCCTTTGAGCCCATACATCCGGAACACAAACCACATCTTGAGAGAGCGGAACCTTCGGCCCAGTGGAATCTGCCAGTGCTGTGAGGGTGAGGTAGGGTGAGGTAGAGGGGGAGATAGGGTGAGGCAGAGGGGGATAAGGGGGTTAGGGTTAGTGGAGCAAACAGAGTGAATTCATCTGATATGACATCCAGTGCCACTCTTACACATAGACAGAATATAATGATAATAGATAACCATTCAGCTTACCCTGTAATCTGTGACCAGCCCTGTAAATAAACAGATGAGTAATTATACTATTAGCAATTCACAGCCAACATTTTAATTAAATGTAGTCCATCACTTGTGTGTCTATACCATAATTATTAGCATATTATGGAATGTTGTTACCATCACTGACCTTTATACCAAATCATTACCTCTCTCTCTCTCTCTCTCTCTCTCTCTCTCTCTCTCTCTCTCTCTCTCTCTCTCTCTCTCTCTCTCTCTCATTGCCTCCACATAAAGTAGAAAAGCCCTGTTGCAGTAGTAATAACCTGTAATTTCATTGAGCTGGAGCTGTTCAGATTGAGCAGCCTCCCTCTGTGAGGAGAGGTCGGCGAGTCTTTTGTCTTTCTGTCAGTCCATTTAAAGAGGAGGCTTCAGGCACAGCTGCAGCCTGGCAGAGGCAGACATTTGTGTTGTGTACAGTTGCGTTCCAAATGGCATCCTATTCCCTACATAGTGCACTACTTTTGACCCGAGTCCTATGGGCCCTGGTCAAAGTAGTGCACTATTCAAGGAATAGGGTTCCAATTGGGACACAGACTACATCTGCATCTAAGATGGGTGACACTCTGTCGCTGGCTAACACTGGCAGGCAGCGATGCAACAGGACCATTACTGGACTATTACAGTGCAAATGTTTTGTTGGGAGGACGTGAGGGACATCGGTAATTGAATTGGATTGTTTTAGAGTGACACATATTGTGTAAGGCGTGTTATTAGGTGAGCGTTTGGAGGCCTTATTGTATTAGCTCTCTAACACAAGTACACACAAACATACGGTACAACTACATGAACACATGCACCCACACACACGTTTGCAGACACACACAAGCGTGCACACACATGTTTCCACGCGTACACACACACACACAAACTTCCTAACCACATAAAATATGGGGCTATGGTGGTGAGTATTAGTTTATCCACCTTGGGTTTATTATCAAGCTTAAAGCCAGCAGGATTGTGAGGTGAGTAACCCGACAGACCCTCAGATCCTTAATGTGACGTACTGGGCTCTCACACTAACACCATTCACATCACATTACATTACAGGGACTCCAGGAATCATCTGCACTTCATCAAATTAAACCACTATACTGTACATAGACTGAAGAGACTATTGCTAGATTTACCACATTTAAACCTAATAGATTGGGAATAAAACAAAAAAGTTATGTCAATATAGACTATTGTCAATGTAAAAATATCTACCTGACTCTTGATGATCATGTTTCAGGTATAGAGGATCCATCTTGAAGGCCCCAATGAGATCAGATCTTTTCCTCACCCTATGGACAGACATTGAAACACTTAAACACTGTTACCCTCTGAGAGCTCCCACAGAATACAGAAGGGTAGGCTAAAGGGCAAGGCTTTTTAAAGAAAAGCACAGAAAACAGGCTCCCCCACATACAGAAGTTGTTCAGTGTTACATTAAGTCTTACAAAAGAATAATCTCTATTTTATTGAAGTATATAATATTTTTGTTAACTTCATATTGAACAATAAAGTTGTATTGTATTATAAAGTGACAATGGTCTAAGGGGACACCCTACAGGGATGACACTGCAGCAGGCAGCAGAAATAATGTTTTGTAAACAATGACTTGGCACAACTTGTGCTCTAGATTTAGTCTCTGAGAATGAGTTGAAAGAATTCTGTTTTCACAACCAGTTGAGCATGAAATAAGGAAGTAAGATCATAAGTGATACCAGGGTTTCTCAGTAACACATTCACCTGACGTATTGTTACAAATTGTTATAAACCAATAATACCATACTACCAGAAAAAAAAGGCCATGCAGCCGAAACTCGTCAGAGTTTTTAAACGTTGTTTCCATTGAACATGACATACAAATAAAGGCATTTGAATTAATTTGATGAAGAGTACCTTTGTCCTCCTTTCTTTCTGAATACCATACTACCATTCATAAACTGAGATGCTACAAGTAATTGTAACTTTGTTCCAGTTACTAAAATACACTATAGCGTCATAAAAAAGAAGCAGACAGCTATTTCTGAGCAGACTACATAAGTCTCTCTTTACATAAGTCATTTCCTTTGTTAACTGACTTTGTCATGGCAACCCACCGGGGATGGAAGAGGGCATTGAGCGTTCTATCAACAAGAAATGTTGGAGTTGTTTGTGGGGTGATGAGCGAGAGGGCAGATGGGATGCCTACTCCCACCCACTCTGTTTAAGGAATGCTTTAGGTGTACGGATAGCGCCTCTGGAGGTGACGTTGTTATGACGGCCTATTGTAGAGTGGTGTAGTCAATAGCCACATTAAGCAACAGTGTAACTAAGGATGGGGAGCATAGTACAACCTTAGATTTTAGGTTATAGACATGTATACAGTTGCACAGTGTTGTGATGAGCTCATAAGGCAGTTTAGATTTTTAAAATGTTTGTACTTTTTTGCTAAATTAAAAACCATGGTGAAGCCGCTCCCCTCTCCCCCATAGAACAGAAAAGAAACAAATGGGTCATACAAAAACAATGTAAAAAAATGTATATGATAAAAATAAAGATTTTACTTAAGGTAGTTTTACGTTTTTATTTAAATGACCAGCAGGGAATCTTACAGACTGTCCCCCTGGTCAGATAAAACAACCTGTTCAATAATAAAACAATGTTTATACAAAGGCCGACTGTCAATCACTTGATAACTTACCACATTGTAGAGCAGTCAAAGTTGACTAACAGCCATTTGTGTGGGTTGAAATTGAAAGAGTCTGCAAACTGAAAGAGATAAAAGAGTTCAAGCCTTTCAATCAGATGATTTTGACCCAAATGTACAGGTCACCTTCTTAATACACAAACAATTTTTTTCCTTCATTTAATTGTAGGAAAACAGTGGTCTTAGAATATATTTGACTTGTCAAAGCCCCTTGCTGCCATCACTAGGTTTGCGCTGACTGCAGCTGGCCTACTACCACAACAGATAACAATATTTCAATAGAATGGCTTCAAATATATGGCGTATGCAGCATATCTAACACCTAGGCAACCTTTATTTGAAATGCTAAATAGAGCATCCTGCACAATAACTCTATTGTCACCATCTTGGTTTCTCAAAGAGAGAAATCTCCAGTCTCATCTATTTGCTCTCTATCACTGCTTTTCTAATATCCTTCCCATCTGCCTTCACAGATCCAATAAAAGCAGGCAGCAATAGGAGACAATATCAATCAGAGGGGCTCGTGCCCAGTTGTTACCATGCTGACAGATGCAGGAGGCTGCCTATCACTGATATCCTAGCAACCAGCCTCAGCTGCAGAGGGAGCCGGTGTGCCTGACTGCCTGTCATTCAGGCGTGTGTGTGTGTGTTTGTGTGTGTGTGTGTGTGTGTTTGTGCGTGACCGGCTCCTCTACTACATCCCTGCCCCCCACCCCCACCCCCCCTCTCCAACATTATTTGAACTTGTGTCGCTAATAAACAGTGATATTTCTTTGACGAGGAGAGCAGCAGGGTTTTATCTAAAGGTCTGATGATGCCTGAGGAAATTACTTTAGCCTTATCTGTGCTCTCAGTGTGGCGCTCCACTCGACTCCGCTCGGTTGTAGAGAAGCATGCTATTCAAAAGGCCAACTGATGCTTTTCTAATTTCCTACCGATTTTTTGGCATATTACTCATTCTAGCACACTTCCTTCTTGACAGTCAAATTAAGTTATTATCAAACACAAATCATAATGGGTGTAAATACTATGATGAAATAAATATATTGCACTTAGCTACTTGTGTAAGCAAGTATGTTCACTGGCAATTTAACTGGAAGTTAAACAAAGACATACGTGTGTGTCTGTGTGTGTGTGTGGTTAGTTGTACAAGACTGTGTGTGTGTGACTGTGTGTGTGTGTGGTTTACTAACCTCAATGCCGTTCAACAGGGGTCTGAATTCAGGACAGATAAAGGAACTCCCAGCATATGCAGCATCAATGTGCATCCAGATTTTCTCTGCATTACCTGAGACAAAAATACAAATGCGTAGGAACAGTAGTATAGAAACATATAGAGCTGGTCCTGAGACATGGCTGTGCAGTAGATTTCTATGGCGTTAGCAGTCTACAACCATGTGTCAGTGCTAATAGACAGCTTTTAGGAATATGTTAATAATGATTTGAGAATCGTACTTACATATGGGCCCAAGTTCAGTAATGTGATCAAATGCACATGAGGGAGTGGTCCCAAGAGTAGCACAGAACTAAATGAAAGAACAAAAATCAACAACTCAGAAAGTATCATCATTATGATAACAATGAGTGAGGTGTATTATCATGGTCTAACAAAGGGCTCTAGCATAACTGAAAATATAACACCATAATACTTGAACGTTATGGTAATCATGCCGGTAATTTCCTCCTCTAAAGACAGCCATAGAAAGAGATTTGTCCATTCAGATAAACACTGTGATTAGGATATCTTTGTATGTCGGGAGACAGACTAGGACAGTATAGTAATCATTTATAGATACTGATCTCCTGGCTTTTATCATGGGTTAACAAGATCCAGTTTCATTTGGTTTGTTACAAATAACATTAGCTGCTATTGAGGCCTCATGGCATGGTATTATTTTATATTGTATTTTTTTGTGATTTTTTTGTGGTATTCTTTCTTAAAACTGTATTGTTGGTTAAGGGCTTGTAAGTAAGCATTTCACTGTAAGGTCTACACCTGTTGTATTCGGCGCATATGACAAATACAATTTAATTTTATTTTATTTTATTTGGTACACACAAACAGCATTGGACAGGGAGAGGAAGATGGGGGGAAATATGTAATTCACCGTTCAACTGTTGCCACTGTGAGTCTGTGTGGGTTCTAGGGCTAGACTGTTGTTTCTCTACGCACTGTTCTTTCTGGAAACATACAGTACTTTACATTATATTCATAAGCGTGTGTTTGTGGACTGTATTGGACTATTGGTTATTTCTGATTGACTATTGACTGGACAATTGATTGTGGCATATTCTTTATAATGAGGGGAGAATGAATGTGTCTATTCTAACTGCCAATCTGCTGCCTTGAAGCTTGTCCATGTAAATGGACGTGTGTTCTGTTCTTCCATAGAAGGGAATGAGTGTTCTGTTCTTCCATAGAAGGGAATGAGTGTTCTGTTCTTCCATAGAAGGGGATGAGTGTTCTGTTCTTACATAGAAGGGGATGAGTGTTCTGTTCTTACATAGAAGGGAATGAGTGTTCTGTTCTTACATAGAAGGGAATTAGTGTTCTGTTCCTTACATAGAAGGGAATTAGTGTTCTGTTCTTCCATAGAAGGGAATGAGTGTTCTGTTCTTACATAGAAGGGGATGAGTGTTCTGTTCTTACATAGAAGGGGATGAGTGTTCTGTTCTTACACAGAAGGGGATGAGTGTTCTGTTCTTACATAGAAGGGGATGAGTGTTCTGTTCTTACATAGAAGGGGATGAGTGTTCTGTTCTTACATAGAAGGGAATGAGTGTTCTGTTCTTACATAGAAGGGAATTAGTGTTCTGTTCTTACATAGAAGGGAATTAGTGTTCTGTTCTTCCATAGAAGGGAATGAGTGTTCTGTTCTTACATAGAAGGGCATGAGTGTTCTGTTCTTACATAGAAGGGGATGAGTGTTCTGTTCTTACACAGAAGGGGATGAGTGTTCTGTTCTTACATAGAAGGGGATGAGTGTGTTCTGTTCTTACGTAGAAGGGGATGAGTCCTGCAGCCTTGTCTTCCTGTATCATTCTCCGGAGGGTCTCTCCCTGGACAGCATACTTGTCTGACTGCTCCGTTGGAATCTTCTTCATCCTCACTCCGGCAATCATACCTGCTCGTTCCACCGAGCAATGAGCCTGTTCAAAGAGAGTAGAGTTAACACAGGTGATGTCCCTATGTCCCAACCCAAAGAGAGTAGATTATATACATGTAGGTCACTTCAAGAGAGTAGAGCTCCCAAGATAGCCAACAACATCGTGCCAGGACAACAACCTCTCCCTCAATGTGAGCAAGACAAGGGAGATGATCGTGGACTACAGGAAAAGGAGGGCCGAACACGCCACCATTCACATCAATGGGGCTGTAGTGGAGCGGGTCGAGAGTTTCAAGTTCCTTGGTGTCCACATCACCAACAAACTGTCATGGTTCAAACACACCAAGAAAGTCGTGAAGAGGACACAACAACACCTTTCCCCCTCAGGAGATTGAAAAGATTTGGCATGGGTCCCCAGATCCTAAAAACGTTCTACAGCTGCACCATCGAGAGCATCCTGACCGGTTGCATCACCACCTGGTATGGCAACTGCTCGGCATCCGACCGTAAGGCGCTACAGAGGGTAGTGCGTACAGCCCAGTTCATCACTGGGGCCAAGCTTCCTGCCATCCAGGACCTATATACTAGGCGGTGTCAGAGGAAGGCCCAACATTTTCCCTCAAGTCACCCAAGTCATAGACTGTTCTCTCTGCTACCGCACAGCAAGCGGTACCGGAGCGCCTAGTCTAGGTACAAAAGGCTCCTTAACAGCTTCTACCCCCAAGCCATAAGACTGCTGAACAATAAATCAAATGGCCACCCAGACTATTTCCATTGACCCCCCCCCCCCCTTTGTTTTTACACTGCTGCTACTCGCTGTTTATTATCTATGCATAGTCACTTTACCCCTTCCTACATGTACAAATTACCTCGACTAACCTGTACCCCTGCACATTGACTCGGTACCGGTACCCCCTCTATATAGCCTCGTTATTGTTATTTTATTTTTTACTTTAGTTTATTTAGTAAATCTTTTCTTAACTCTATTTCTTGAACTGCATTGTTGGTTAAGGGCTTGTAAGTAAGCATTTCACGGTAAGGTATCTACCTGTTGTATTCGGCACATGTGACAAATACAATTTTATTTGATCACAGCCCAAAGAGAGATAATGATTTTGGTGACTTAAAGATAGCCAACATCATCACGGCCACCAGACCTAAGCCAGATCAGGTTATTTTACACCATTCTAAATTATCATTCTATCTCGGCATATAGTACTGTACATTCACCCAAAGATGAAATAATGTATGTAGTCCGTCCATCAAGTAAGACGTTAAAGGACCAGTTGTACTGTGTAACGTCACTTCTAGAGAAAAGGGCTGTTACCCTCTTCCCCATAAAGGGCAGTGTTGTCCTCTGGGCAGATCCATAACCTAATCTCATCCTGCTCAGGTCAACAGAGCAGAGCTAGCATGACGGTGCTGCCTGACAAACAGACCCATATCATGAGAAGGGCTTACCAAGAGAAACGTCCAAAATGACTAATTCAAGGCAGAAAGGAGTTGGAGCACGCAACAAAAAAAGCAGAGATGTATTTATTTTAGCTCACGTTAATCCATTGAACAGGATGCGAACAGGTGACTGACGTTTCGACGTCAAGCTGACGTCTTCCTCAGAGTGACCTGACCATTGCACTATTTATAGCCTAGTGGCCCATTGAGACACAAGGTAGGAAAATAATAATGATAATATGTTTCAAGGTAAATGGCAAATTATAGCACAAAATAATACTAATAATAAGATAAATAATGTGCAATTGAGCATGTACAGTATATTACATTTGTAGTGGTAAAATTAATGACGCATTGATTAACGAGACATTATTTATCTTATCATTAGTATTATTTTATGCTATAATTGACCATTTACCTTGAAACATATTATCATTATAATTGTTTTATATTGTTGTGTCTCAATGGGCCTCTAGGCCAGGGTTCTTCAATTCCGGTCCTGGAGGGCCGAAACACTTATGTTTTTTATTTCTACCTGGTAGTTAATTGCACTCACCTGGTGTCCCAGGTCTGAATTAGCCCCTGATTAGAAGGAGAGGATGAAAAACAGAGGTGTCTCGGCCCTCCAGGACCGGAATTGAAGAACCCTGCTTTGTAAGCCCTACTGTCACGCCCTGGCTCTGGGGACACTTGTATGTTGAGCCAGGGTGTGAGTTTCATTTGTTTTTCTAGTAGTTGTATTTCTAGGTTGGCCAGAGTGGTTCCCAATCAGAGGCAACGAGTGTCAGCTGTTGCTGGTTGTCTCTGATTGGGAACCATATTTAGACAGGCTGTTTTCCCACAGTGGTTGTGGGATCTTGTTCCAGTGTGGTTTGTGTTTAGACCGTGGATGTCACGTTATCGTTTTTGTTGTTTTGTTTGGTTATTCACTAATAAAGAGTATGTTTGCCTTCAACGCTGCGCCTTGGTCCTCCTCTGTTCCCGACGATCGTGACACCTACTCATGATTTTTGTCATTGTTGTTGAGCACCCCTCCTTTCCTTTGTTTCCTGAAGCACCAACGCGTTGCGGCTCACAGGCCTTCTTCAGGGTGCACAGGTGCACAGCAGTGACAGGTGAAATTAATGACCAGAAATGAAAGGAGAGGTGATATACAGTATATTATCTTAAACAATAGATAAAGAGGAACTAATACCCAAAATTATAAAGAGAAAAAACAAACATTTACTGGCACCAGTATGTTTGTTTTTTCTTTTAATTATTTTGGGAATTATTTCCTCTTTATCTATTGGTTAACATTGTTAACCAATAGATAAATTAGAAGTCCAAAACGCACCAGCATTACGTTGGGACTCATTGGGTTAAAGTGCTCTAAAGTGCTCATCTGGTTTTGTGGCCTGACCTGTTCAGGGTAGGAGTAGGATTAGCAGGAGTAAGAGTAGAAGCCTGACCTGGTCGGAGGAGTAGGCCACCAATTTGGAGGTGATGTCAGTCTCTGGACGCTGTGGGTCACTGGCCAGGATCATTCTGACCGCCCTGGAGCGGGCAGCTAGGAGAGCCACCAGAGTCGCCTCACTGGCCGTACCCTACAGAAAGACAGAGGAAGGTAAGTGGGGTGACTTTCGATTACTTCAGTCAAACCAGTAGGCCTTGCAACATGTACCTCCTCTGGTGTCATAGGGAGGGCCCAGAGAAACGGTCTGGAAGTCTGGTTAGATCAGCTAATCAGTGCAAAATGTTTGATAAAAAAACTTACTTTACATGTAAAATCTGCTCCATACAAACCTGATGGTTTTCAAAGAACTCTTGTTCTTTGCTGAGGCTATTCATATGCACAGCCACTCTAAGCATCATCAATGCCTATTGAGTCAGCTTGTTGTGCTGTTAGAATCTCCTTTGGTCCTATCTGCTAGCCTGCCTGTTGACTATAATGTCCACACCTTAATGACTGAAAATAACTGATATGTCACAGACAGCAGCAAGTCATTGTACAACTATTATTTAGGAAATTGTATGCGGCAAAACAAATGTTCAGATTATAAATATTGAGCATGACTCCTGAACTATTGGAGATATCAAGTTTGATGACATAAATCAATCCATCCTGATTTTTACACCGGTGTGAAGTGGCGCTCTGGCGGTGGAGGCTTCAGGAAGGAGGCGGCAGACAAGTTGGTACGGTGTAAAACTCAGGATGAGCGTGTTTAGTCTATTTACAGGGAGTACAAAATAAAGCCGGCAAAACGGTACACTATGCAGGCCTACAAAATATGTACAACAAAAATATCATACAGGTCGATGAAGAGAGGAACAGAAAGTGGGGATAAACAGACAATAGACCTAAACTTAACGCTGCACTCTCAAACAGCCTAAACCAGGCCTCGATCATGTCTGCATGGCAGCAGACAGTATTCCAACCTTAACCCTGTCTGTCTGTCTAGTAGATTAATGACAGGTATTAAATAGGATAGCAATCATAAATCAACATGTTTAATAAATAAAGCCTACATGAACGTAGGCTACAAATCATCATGACCATCTTGAGGTAATATATTTGACTTTACATAATTAGCCTATACACTTTTAAATAATATTGTAGAACCATGCCTAAAGCATTAAAAGCCAGGATACACATTTCACAGCATAATTGGCACTCCCGAACGCAGCTTGATTGACACACCCCCTACCTGAGCATGGTCAATGGAACAAACAATTAATCTCTTCAAATACAAGGATTAAAGTAACTGTCCACATTCTGTTAACTCATACCCAAATAATGTTGTTGAAAGATTTGTCATAGGTCCTCATATCCTCAAAAAGTTATACAGCTACACCATTGAGAGCATCTTGACTGGCTGCATCACCGCTTGGTATGGCAACTGCTTGGCATCCGACCGCAAGATGCTACAGAGGGTAGTGCGTACGGCCCAGTACATCACTGGGGCCGAGCTTTCTGCCATCCAAGACCTCTATACCAGTTGGTGTCAGAGGAAGGCCCTAAGAATTGTCAAAGACTCCAGCCACCCAAGTTAATGACTGTTGTCTCTGCTACCACATGGCAAGCGGTACCGATGCACCAAGTCTGGAACCAACAGGACCCTGAACAGCTTCTACCCCCAAGCCATAAGACTGCTAAATAATGAGTTAAATAGTTAACAAAACAGCTACCCGGTCTATCTGCATTGACCCTTTCTGCACTAACTTCTTTGACTCATCACATACACTGCTTCTATTGTTTACTATCTGTCACTTTATTCCTAGTTATATGTACATATCTACTTTAATTACAGTGGGGGAAAAAAGTATTTAGTCAGCCACCAATTGTGCAAGTTCTCCCACTTAAAAAGATGAGAGAGGCCTGTAATTTTCATTATAGGTCAACGTCAACTATGACAGATTTCTGGCTCTCACAGACCTGTAACTTCTTCTTTAAGAGGCTCCTCTGTCCTCCACTCATTACCTGTATTAATGGCACCTGTTTGAACTTGTTATCAGTATAAAAGACACCTGTCCACAACCTCAAACAGTCACACTCCAAACTCCACTATGGCCAAGACCAAAGAGCTGTCAAAGGACACCAGAAACAAAATTGTAGACCTGCACCAGGCTGGGAAGACTGAATCTGCAATAGGTAAGCAGCTTGGTTTGAAGAAATCAACTGTGGGAGCAATTATTAGGAAATGGAAGACATACAAGACCACTGATAATCTCCCTCGATCTGGGGCTCCACGCAAGATCTCACCCTGTGGGGTCAAAATGATCACAAGAACGGTGAGCAAAAATCCCAGAACCACACGGGGGGACCTAGTGAATGACCTGCAGAGAGCTGGGACCAAAGTAACAAAGCCTACCATCAGTAACACACTACGCCGCCAGGGACTCAAATCCTGCAGTGCCAGACGTGTTCCCCTGCTTAAGCCAGTACATGTCCAGGCCCGTCTGAAGTTTGCTAGAGTGCATTTGGATGATCCAGAAGAGGATTGGGAGAATGTCATATGGTCAGATGAAACCAAAATATAACTTTTTGGTAAAAATTCAACTCGTCGTGTTTGGAGGACAAAGAATGCTGAGTTGCATCCAAAGAACACCATACCTACTGTGAAGCATGGGGGTGGAAACATCATGCTTTGGGGCTGTTTTTCTGCAAAGGGACCAGGACGACTGATCCGTGTAAAGGAAAGAATGAATGGGGCCATGTATTGTGAGATTTTGAGTGAAAACCTCCTTCCATCAGCAAGGGCATTGAAGATGAAACGTGGCTGGGTCTTTCAGCATGACAATGATCCCAAACACACCGCCCGGGCAACGAAGGAGTGGCTTCGTAAGAAGCATTTCAAGGTCCTGGAGTGGCCTAGCCAGTCTCCAGATTTCAACCCCATAGAAAATCTTTGGAGGGAGTTGAAAGTCCGTGTTGCCCAGCGACAGCCCCAAAACATCACTGCTCTAGAGGAGATCTGCATGGAGGAATGGGCTAAAATACCAGCAACAGTGTGTGAAAACCTTGTGAAGACTTACAGAAAACGTTTGACCTGTGTCATTGCCAACAAAGGGTATATAACAAAGTATTGAGAAACTTTTGTTATTGACCAAATACTTATTTTCCACCATAATTTGCAAATAAATTCATTAAAAATCCTACAATGTGATTTTCTGGATTTTTCTTTCTCATATTGTCTGTCATAGTTGACGTGTACCTATGATGAAAATTACAGGCCTCTCTCATCTTTTTAAGTGGGAGAACTTGCACAATTGGTGGCTGACTAAATACTTTTTTTCCCCACTGTACCTTGTACCCCTGCACATCGACTCACTACTGGTACCCCGTGTACAGTATATAGCCAAGTTATTGTTTCTCATTGTGTATCTGTTATTACTTTTATTATTACATGCTTTATTTTTCAATTATTTCTCTATTTTCTTTCACTCTGCATTGTTGGGCCCGTAAGTAAGCATTCCACTGTTAGTCCACACGTTGTTTACGAAGCATGTAACGAATACAATTTGATTTGACAGTATTATAATTTCACTCGCAATCATAAACACAAATCTCACTCATTAGCTACAGTACCCTGTAGCTCAGTTAGAGCATGGCGCTTGCAACGCCAGGGTTGTGGGTTCGTTTCCCACGGGGGGCCAGTATGAAAATGTATGAACTCACTAACTGTAAGTCGCTCTGGATAAGAGCGTCTGCTAAAAAATAAATAAATAAAAAACTGCTCCTAAATGCATCTCATACTCAAATGCTCATCTGAACATGGTACATCATGTGAGATGCCTGCAACTTGTCACAGCTCTCATTAGGCTGGCAACAAGTGAGAGGAGGCCTATTTGTTGCCATAGTGAAGGGCACTTAAAACCACAGCCACAAACAAAACACCCCTAGGATGAGCCATGCTCCTCGATGGCTTCAATAAAGGGCCATGAAATGATCTCTCTCTCTCTCAGCCAACTCTCCTATCTCATCCCTGGCTGAGACATTCACCTCAGCTGCTCTGCTGTATCCACAACAATAAATAAACGCTGAACGCTTCACCACACAAAATAAGTACCCACACCCCCAACAAACACACACACACTAGCCCATCTTTGCCTGACATATTAAAAGGCAATTTCCTGCTGTTTCTCTGGTGTTGTGAGGCGAAAAAGAACAACAAAAAATATGACAGACAAATTGCTGGCAGCGACAGAATTGGGAGCAGTCAATTGCTTCTTCTATTTTCCTAACACCTGCATTGTTTTCAAAGGCAAAGTGGCACGGACTGTGGATAAATATGGTATTGACACTATTGTGAATGCCATGTGTTCTGTACAAATATTTGAATTATATTGACTTGGCTATCCTTACTTGAAATATGACTATGACAAATATCCCATTAAATGTTTCAGTTAAATTCATTAATTGAGTAATTAAATGTATTTTAAAGTATGCTGTGGCAATGCAGCAATACAACTGTGTAAATAAAACCAATGCATTGTCTAACCCCAAAGAAATGGTGGGTAGTTTTACCATACCTGGATGACGCCTCCTCCCTGTCCATGTGTCCCGGCAATGAAGTCCTCTGGCAGCTTGAGCATCTTCCCAAGCCAGTCCATCATGACTGTCTCCAGCTCTGTACACGCCGGGCTGGCAGCCTATAGTAACATGGGGTTAGAGACAGGGTCAACACGCAGCTCTGTACATGCCGGACTGGCAGCCTACAGTACCGTGGAGTTACCACACCATTTGGACATGATGCGCAAAAAATGCTAATATCGGTCCAATGAATTGAATGGGATTTGTGCCACAAATGCTAAAACGTAAAAATGTGGAAACAGTGCCATGGAATCTAAACCAAAGCATGGATTTCTGTCATACCTTGTCCATAATCTGCTTACAGGGTAAGGAAGCCGATGTGTCATTTTGTAATTTGGGTGAACTAACCCTTTAATGTCTTAAAATAGTGATACTGTTCAATAATGATACTGTGATACTGTGATACTGCTCCCGAGTGGCGCAGCGGTCTAAGGCACTGCATCTCAGTGCTCGAGGCGTCACTACAGACCCCCTGGTTGGATTCCAGGCTGTATCACAACCGGCCGTGATTGGGAGTCCCATAGGGCGGCGCACAATTGGCCCAGCGTCGTCCGGGTTTGGCCGGTGTAGGCCGTCATTGTAAATAAGAATTTGTTCTTAACTGACTTGCCTAGTTAAATAAAAAATAAAAGATAAAAATCACATTCAAAAGAAAGAGAGAGGGTGACAGAAACAGATGACAAGGTCATACATACCCAGGAGAATCCGATGCAACCAATTGCTCCAGACAGCATGTCTGCCAGCATGGCCGGGAAGGAGTTAGCCGTGGGGAAGTAGGCATAGAAGTACGGGCTGTGCCAGTGGGTCACCTAAACACAGAGGAAGAGTCGTGTCAGGTAGCCTATAGGTTACATGCGCCGAATACAACAGGTGTAGACCTTACAGTGAAATGCTTACTTACAAGCCATTAACCAACAATGCAGTTTTAAGAAAAATAAGTGTTAAGTAAAAAATAGGTAAGTAAAACTAAATAAAGAAGAAAAATAGAAAAATAGAAAAATAACAAATAATGTAGCAGTAAAATAACAGTAGCGAGGCTATATATAGGGGGTACCGGCAGCGGTGGAAAAAGTACCCAATTGTCATACTTGAATAAAAGTAAAGATACCTTAATAGAAAATGACTCAAGTAAAAGTGAAAGTCACCCAGTAAAATACTACTTGAGTAAAAGTCTAAAAGTTTTTATTTTATTTTTATATATACTTAAGTATCAAAAGTAAATGTAATTGCTCAAATATACTTAAGTATCAAAAGTCAAAGTGAAAGTATAAATCATTTCAAATTCCTTATATTAAGCAAACCAGACGGCACCATTTTCTTTTCTTTTTTATTTATTTACGGATAGCCAGGGGCACACTCCAGCACTCAGACATCATTTACAAACGAAGCATGTGTTTAGTGAGTCCGCCAGATCAGAGTCAGTAGGGATGACCAGGGATGTTCTCTTGATAAGTGTGTGAATTAGAATATTTTCCTGTCCTGCTAAGCATTCAAAATGTAATGAGTACTTTTGGGTGTCAGGGAAAATGTATGGAGTAAAAAGTATATAATTTCCTTTAGGAATGTAGTGAAGTAAAAGTAAAAGTTGTCAAAAATGTAAATAGTAAAGTAAAGTAAAGATACCCAAAAAAATACTACTTAAGTAGTACTTTCAAGTATTTTTACTTAAGTACTTTACGCCACTGGGTACCGGTACAGAGCCAATGTGCGGGGGCACAGGTTAGCCGAGGTAATTGAGGTAATATGTACATGTGGGTAGAGGTAAAGTGACTATGATATAGATAATAAACAGAGAATAGCAAATAGTCCGGGTAGCCATTTGATTAGCTGTTCAGGAGTCTTATGGCTTGGGGGTAGAAGCTGTTAAGAAGCCTTTTGGACCGAGACTTGGCACTCCGCTATCGCTTGCCGTGCGGTAGCAGAGAGAACAGTCTATGACTAGGGTGGCTGGAGTCTTTGGCAATGTTTAGGGCCTTCCTCTACCATGTCTTGCCGTGGTGCCACTGAGCCCTTGAGCAATGCACTTAACCCCTAAACTGCTCTAGCCCTTGAGCAAGGCAGTTAACCCGATAAACTGCTCCAGGCTGAATTCCAGTCTTGTGTGTGTGTGGGGCACCAAGCAAGAGGCTGCCAGTGTCCCTGTCTGTCTCCCTTACATGCTTTTCCCATGGTGAGTCATTCATTAGACTAACTGGGCTTATTCCACACTGTTAAAAGCAGAGGTGGTAGAGGAAAAAAACATGTTTTAGAGGGTCAGATTGATAATGGAATAACGGCTTTCATGTTACAGCTAAGGAAAGGGTTTGGGTTGGGAGTAGGGGGCAGATAGATTGAAACTGGTGATGAGGTTATTGTTGTGAGGTTAATCATTCATTAAAATCTTTGAACTTTGCCATGTGAAAGGCCACAGAATGCAGAGCATTTTACAACCATTTGTAAAAACAACTCTATAGCTGATACGTGTCATATACAGTTAACGTGAGCTTTCATTAACTGATTGCTCAGCACAAACAACAAAGTACAATGGAACACTTTGTCTCGTTGACAAAACTTTCAACACTGAAGCTCCTTACTATACATATTCTGAATGATTACTAAACAACAGTCAACAGACCGGAAGTTGATACAGATAGTGATAATGCCACCCCTCCTTTTTCCTAGAAAAATATTTAATTCCATATGCACCACCTATTCATAATGAAGTATGCATAAGAGATTCACAACACCTTTATGAATCCTGTCATAACACCTTAATGAGTATTGCAGTATGATTAATAACAACCTTTATAACACATTTATTCAATATATTTAATAATCTCTTGAAATAAATCTTTATTTATCCATTGTAGAGTGGAGATGTTTATTCTTACTGCCATGTAAGAGGTTGGGAGCAGCACAGGGTTAGCGGTTGGGTGACTGTGTGTATTGAGTGTTGTGTATGTTCTCGTGATCGTTTAATGCAGCCGGATGCCACTGGGTAAACAGCCTATTGGTATCATCAATATTATAATATTTAATTCTGAACTTTTCACTGATGAAATCTGGGAGATAGCAGATCTCCAATAACAGAGTACCTGACCTAGAGCAAGTTATGAATGCCGTATGTATGCCACCTTCAAGTAAAGTGTGACCGTCATTTTATAGCTGTTATCACCCTTCAATCAATAGTCACCTCATCTATGATAATATAATAATCTAAGCCACCTACCCCAGGCATGATGACCCTCTCAATGTCTTTGACCACGTCTTCGTAGGTGTCAGGCTCCTCAGGGGCCTCCTCAGGGATGAGGGACCGCAGATACCCAGGCTCCACGTCGGGGTACACCGGCCTCTGCTCTATGTTTTCCAGGTAATCTGCTATCAGGTCTACCATCTCCTTCCCTCTCCTCCGGAACTCTGTAGCGTCCATTTTACAACTGGAACAGACAAATGTCCCACTTTATTGTCCCAACCTTCAGTAACAGTCCCATACACTTAATCCCCACCAACTCAAATCACTGGTAAGAACCTGATTACATGCAGGTGCACACACACACACACACACACAATTTAGCATAACAGATTATAAAGGGAAAGCCAGCCACGTTGCGGACACCGACGCCTAGCTTCCAGACAAACTAAACACCTTCTTCGCCCTGTTTCGAGGAAAACAACACTGAGCCGCCGACGTGGGCCCCTGCCACTCACGAGGACTGTGTGCTCCCAATCTCCGTGGCTAAAGCGAGTAAGACATTTAAGCGTTTTAACCCTCGCAAGGCTTCCGGCCCATACGGCATCCCAAGCCATGTCCTCAAAGTCCAGCTGGCTGAAGTGTTTACGGACATATTCAATGTCTTACTATCCAAGTCTGTTGTCCCCATTTGCTTCAAGATGTCCACCATCGTTACTGCACCCAAGAAAGCGAAGGTAACTGAACTAAATGACTATCGCTCCGTAGCAATCACTTCTGTAATCATTAAAGTGCTTTGAAAGGCTAGTTAAGGACCATATCACCTCCATCTTACCTGACAACCTAGACCCACTATAATTTGCATACTGCCCCAACAGATCCACAGATGACGCAATCGCCATTGCACTGCACACTGCCCTATCCCACCTGGACAAGAGGAGTACCTACAGTGGGGAGAACAAGTATTTGATACACTGCAGATTCTGCAGGTTTTCCTACTTACAAAGCATGTAGAGGTCTGTAATTTTTATCATAGGTACACTTCAACTGTGAGAGACGGAATCTAAAACAAAAATCCAGAAAATCACATTGTATGATTTTTAAGTAATTAATTTGCATTTTATTGCATGACATAAGTATTTGATCACCTACCAACCAGTAAGAATTCCGGCTCTCACAGACCTGTTAGTTTTTCTTTAAGAAGCCCTCCTATTCTCCACTCATTACCTGTATTAACTGCACCTGTTTGAACTCGTTACCTGTATAAAAGACACCTGTCCACACACTCAATCAAACAGACTCCAACCTCTCCGCAATGGCCAAGACCAGAGAGCTGTGTAAGGACATCAGGGATAAAATTGTAGACCTGCACAAGGCTGGGATGGGCTACAGGACAATAGGCAAGCAGCTTGGTGAGAAGGCAACAACTGTTGGCGCAATTATTAGAAAATGGAAGAAGTTCAAGATGACGGTCAATCACCCTCGGTCTGGGGCTCCATGCAAGATCTCACCTCGTGGGGCATCAATGATCATGAGGAAGGTGAGGGATCAGCCCAGAACTACACGGCAGGACCTGGTCAATGACCTGAAGAGAGCTGGGACCACAGTCTCAAAGAAAACCATGAGTAACACACTACGCCGTCATGGATTAAAATCCTGCAGCGCACGCAAGGTCCCCCTGCTCAAGCCAGCGCATGTCCAGGCCCGTCTGAAGTTTGCCAATGACCATCTGGATGATCCAGAGGAGGAATGGGAGAAGGTCATGTGGTCTGATGAGACAAAATTATAGCTTTTTGGTCTAAACTCCACTCGCTGTGTTTGGAGGAAGAAGAAGGATGAGAACAACCCCAAGAACACCATCCCAACCGTGAAGCATGGAGGTGGAAACATCATTCTTTGGGGATGCTTTTCTGCAAAGGGGACAGGACAACTGCACCGTATTGAGGGGAGGATGGATGGGGCCATGTATCGCGAGATCTTGGCCAACAACCTCCTTCCCTCAGTAAGAGCATTGAAGATGGGTCGTGGCTGGGTCTTCCAGCATGACAACGACCCGAAACAAACAGCCCGGGCAACTAAGGAGTGGCTCTGTAAGAAGCATCTCAAGGTCCTGGAGTGGCCTAGCCAGTCTCCAGACCTGAACCCAATATAACATCTTTGGAGGGAGCTGAAAGTCCGTATTGCCCAGCGACAGCCCCGAAACCTGAAGGATCTGGAGAAGGTCTGTATGGAGGAGTGGGCGAAAATCCCTGCTGCAGTATGTGCAAACCTGGTCAAGACCTACAGGAAACGTATGATCTCTGTAATTGCAAACAAAGGTTTCTGTACCAAATATTAAGTTCTGCTTTTGTGATGTATCAAATACTTATGTCATGCAATAAAATGCAAATTAATTACTTAAAAATCATACAATGTGATTTTCTGGATTTTTGTTTTAGATTCCGTCTCTCACAATTGAAGTGTACCTATGATAAAAATTACAGACCTCTACATGCTTTGTAAGTAGGAAAACCTGCAAAATCGGCAGTGTATCAAATACTTGTTCTCCCCACTGTATGTAAGAATGCTGTTCATCGACTACAGCTCAGCCTTCAACACCGTAATGCCCTCCAAGCTCATCACTAAGCTCAGGGCCCTGGGTCTGAACCCCTCTGTGTAGAAATTGGGTCCTGGACATCCTGACGGGCCAACCCCAGGTGGTGAAGGCTACAACACCGCCACGCTGATCCTCAACACGTGGGCCCCACAGGGGTGTGCGCTCAGCCCCCTCCTGTACTCCCTGTTCACCCATGACTGCGCGGCCACGCACGTCTCCAACTCAAGTTTGCTGATGACATAACAGTGGTAGGCCTGATTAGCAACAACGACAAGACAGCCAACAGGGAGGAGGTGAGTGCCTTGGCAGACTGGTGCCAGGAAAATAACTTCTCCCTCAACATCAACAAAACAGAGGAACTGATCGTGGACTACAGGAGACAGCAAAGAGAACAAGCCGTCATCCACATCTAGAGAGAGGGTCAAAAGCTTAAAGTTCCTCGGTGTGCACATCACTGAGGACCTGAAATGGTCCGTTCACACCGTCATTTGGCTCCTAAGACCCTCACGAACTTCTACAGATGCACCATTGAGAGCGTCCTGTCGGGCTGTATCACTGCCTGGAACGGCAATTGCACCGTCCGCAACCGCAGGGCTCTCCAGAGGGTGGTGCGGTCAGCCCAACGGAAGCACACTGCCTGACCTCCAGGACATCTACAGCACCCGGTGTCACAGGAAGCCCAAGAAGATCATCAAGGACCCCAGCCACCTGAGACACGGCTTGTTGACCACACCAGCATTTTTAAAAACATTCTTTACATTTTAGTCATTTAGCAGACACTATTATCCAGAGCGACTTACAGTAGTGAGTACATACATTTTCATGTACTGGTCCTCCATCTTCAAGGCAGAGACAATACAGGTGCATCAAAGCTGGGACCAAGAGACTGATAAACAGCTTCTATCCCCAGGCCATCAGACTGATAAACAGCTTCTGTCCGCAGGCCATCAGACTGCTAAACAGCCACCACTAGACAACCTCCGCCCAGTATCCTGCCCTCTGCCCAGTACCCTACTTTGCCCCTTAGTCACGGTCACTAGCCGGCTACCACCGGGTACTTTTGCGACTGCACTTGAAGAAACGTTAGAAGTTCTTCACATTTTCCGAATTGACTGACCTTCATGTCTTAAAGTAATGATGGACTGTCGTTTCTCTTTGATTATTTGAGCTGTTCTTGCTATAATATGGACTTGGTCTTTTACCAAATATGGCTATCTTCTGTATACCACCCCTGCCTTGTCACAACACAACTGATTGGCTCAAACACATTAAGAAGGAAATCATTCCATAAATTAACTTTTAACAAGGCACACCTGTTAATTTAATGTATTCCAGGTGACTACCTCATGAATCTGGTTGAGAGAATGCCAATAGTGTGCAAAGCTGTCATCAATGCAAAGGGTGGCTACTTTGAAGAATCTCAAATATAAAATATATTTTGATTTGTTTAACACTTATTTGGTTACTACATGATTCCATATGTGTTATTTCATAGTTTTGATATCTTCACTATTATTCTACAATGTAGAAAATAGTAAAAATAAAGAAAAATCCTGGAATGAGTAGATGTGTCCAAACTTTTGACTGGTACTGTATCTACTGCACTAAATGTTTTATCATTTATTTTTATTTTGGATTATTGTGTGCTTGTTTGACATTTACTGCATTGATTGATATGAACTAGGAACATAAGCATTTCGCTGCAACTGCCATAACACCTGCTAAACTGTGTACGCGACCAATACAATATGGTTTGAACACAAGAACAGCATGACAAATACTACAGACTTATATTGTGAGTTGATGTAATTTCTTATCTATTGATTAGATAGATAACATAGTGAGGCTAATATAGTACAGAGAGGTGTTCTTCACCTGACTGACCACAGTAAACACTGCTACTCATAATCCCCTGTAATCCGCTCTAATGCAGGTGTGTGTGTGTGTGTGTGTGTGTGTGTGTGTGTGTGTGTGTGTGTGTGTGTGTGTGACCGACTCAGTCTACTGCTCTATTTGATTGCTTGACAGAAAATTCTATTAGTGGTGATAAACCTAATCACCTTGCTGATACACTTGCTGGTTCATTATGCCCTATCCAGACTCCAAAATCTGCATCTCTAAACTAGCATTAAGAAAGTAGTTTAGTGTAGGATTTCCCATGCAGCACCACGGAAACAACGTTTCTAAAAGAGGTTCATAATCTGTTTCCGTGGTGGCCTAATCTGAAACTTGTGATAAATAACCCATGCAGGCTAAATGCTTAAGGCATGTCAGCAAGTTTCTTTGCAGTGTTTACATATTGAAGATTTATCAAAATGGGGAAAGATAGCCTACAAAATTAAATACATAAAGCTAACTATAATAGAACAAATGCTCTGATGCAAATAACACAGTTCAGAGGGAATTTCAAGAGCAAAAGAGAAGCAAGAGAGAAAAAAACACAAAAGCAATTGCACTATAGTCTATCAAGTCTTTTACGAAACACCACAGTACATCTACAGAAGCATATCATTCTGAATGCCACCCATGCATGCAACACTCAACAGAGACATATGAACATTGCCCTCTTCTCTTAGAAAAAAGGTGCTATCTAGAACCTGAAAGGGTTCTTCAGCTGTCCCCATAGGAGAACACTTTGAATAACTATTTTTGGTTCCAGGTAGAACCCTTTTTGTTCCAGTTAGAACCCTTTACAGAGAGGGTTCTACATGGAACCCAAAATAGTTCTACCTCGAACCACAAATGGTTCTCCTATGGGGACAGCCGAAGAACCCTTTTGGAATGCTTTTATGTAAGAGTTTACCCAACATAGTCATTCAACAGGTGTTGTTATTTCTATCAATCCTCTGTGCCAGAGCTGTGAGTATCAGGATAAGGAGTGCTGATCTAGGAACAGTTTTGCCCTTTGGATCATAACGACTAAGATTATATATACACCGGAGGGACCTGATCCTAGATCAGCACTCCTTCTCTGAGAGACTGGATACTGTACATACAGCATGTATTCTGCATGTATTCTGCAGCCCAGTGGAGACCTGCAGTCCTGATAAACCCTAACAATATTAGAGCGGTGGGTGGGTAGATGGTGGGTGGTAGTATGCGGTTGGCGGTGGGTGTACTCACATTGTCGGGCACAGCGGTGGTCGGGTCCTCCTCTCCTTCAGTCTTCACACACAGCAGCAGTGAGTGGTGGAGTGGTGTACAGCAGGAGCGACACGCACGGCTCTTTTATCTGCCGTGGCCCCCCTCAGCCAGCCAATGGGAGTGTGGCTCCTGGCCAAGGCAGTGTGCACAGGCAGGAAGGGCTGATTCACAAGGAGTTAATGAGATCCTACTCACTTTCCACACAGCCTGATCGACACAGAGGCTTAGCACACAGCTACCTGTTGCACCGTACTGTTATAACTACTACTGTTTATTGATATTACTGTATTATTACTGTATTACTATGTATTACCAGTTACCAGTAAAGCCTTATAATCTTGGGTTTTGGCAAGCAGCTAACTAACAAACATAATTTCAACCAGTGTGGTATAACTGTTTATTACAGACTTATAAACTATCTCTAAACTACTAATTTAAAGCTTACAAACTACTTATAAACCCTGTTATGACTCATTTTAGGTATACCATTTTGGTTGATATTTGATAGAGTTAAATCAGTAAACCAAACTCAAACTCAAATGTGCGAACTATGTTGACATTTTTGGCTCCAGGGTTAATATTTGAGACTTAACCCATTGTCAACAAGTTAAACTAGTTCTAAAATATGGTTATGCATCCTCTAGGGTCTGTGGATATCTTAATGCTTAAATACACTTTTGAGTTTATGTCAATCTGATGAAAGACCTTAAGCAAGATAAACTGATACCTCTTGTCATCTGAGTACATCTCAATTCTCATCTGCATAACCAGGCTGTTGGTTTATCTACATCCTCTTATGGGGCCTGGATGATTGCTCCATTCTTATGCTGCATTCATAACCAAGTGGCAAGGTGGTAATTACCAATTGTGAAGTTGTAAATACGAGTTAGATGCATTCACGTCCCTTAAACTTGAGAAACGTTGTTTGGCTAATGGCAAAAAAGCTGCATCAACCATAAACTAAAAGTACAGCTAGTGCTCGCAAACAAATTATAGTGTTCACAAACCATATTAATAGATTGATTTTTATAAATAAATGTTTTGTTTCATTTAACTGCCGAAAATGCTGTTATAGAGGTAATTTCCTTAGTGGGTTACGTCAGAGTTCAGCATGGGAGAAGTCGGAGCTCAGGGATAATAGAACAGTTCCCACTAGTAATTACCAATTGGAGGGGCGGTCAAGTGGATTTTTCACAGTTGTATGCTTGTATTTACGAATTTACAATATGTTATTAACGCAGCATTAGGTCTGTATCGAGTAAACTGTCCAAGTCAAATTCTGTGTCTCTCAGCTCTTAACAGTTTTTTGGACTTACAGTGAGGGACAAAAGTATGTGATCCCCTGCTGATTTTGTATGTTTGCCCACTGACAAAGAAATGATCAGTCTATCATTTTAATGGTAGGTTTATTTGAACAGTGAGAGACAGAATAACAACAAAATAATCCAGAAAAACACATTTATAAAATGTTATAAATTGATTTGCATTTTAATGAGGGAAATATGTATTTGACCCCTCTGCAAAACATGACTTAGTACTTGGTGGCAAAACCCTTGTTGGCAATCACAGAGATCAGACGTTTCTTGTAGTTGGCCACCAGGTTTGCACACATCTCAGGAGGGATTTTGTTCCACTCCTCTTTGCAGATCTTCTCCAAGTCATTAAGGTTTCGAGGCTGACGTTTGGCAACTCGAACCTTCAGCTCCCTCCACAGATTTTCTATGGGATTAAGGTCTGGAGACTGGCTAGGCCACTCCAGGACCTTAATGTGCTTCATCTTGAGCCACTCCTTTGTTGCCTTGGCCGTGTGTTTTGGGTCATTGTCATGCTGGAATACCCATCCACGACCCATTTTCAATGCCCTGGCTGAGGGAAGGAGGTTCTCACCCAAGATTTTACAGTACATGGCCCCGTCCATCATCCCTTTGATGCAGTGAAGTTGTCCTGTCCCCTTAGCAGAAAAACACCCCCAAAGCATAATGTTTCCACCTCCATGTTTGACGGTGGGGATGGTGTTCTTGGGGTCATAGGCAGCATTCCTCCTCCTCCAAACACGGCGAGTTGAGTTGATGCCAAAGAGCTCGATTTTGGTCTCATCTGACCACAACACTTTCACCCAGTTCTCCTCTGAATCATTCAGATGTTAATTGGCAAACTTCAGACGGGTCTGTTTATGTGCTTTCTTGAGCAGGGGGACCTTGCGGGCGCTGCAGGATTTCAGTCCTTCACGGCATAGTGTGTTACCAATTGTTTTCTTGGTGACTATGGTCCCAGCTGCCTTGAGATCATTGACATGATCCTCCCGTGTAGTTCTGGGCTGATTCCTCACCGTTCTCATGATCATTGCAACTCCACGAGGTGAGATCTTGCATGGAGCCCCAGGCCGAGGGAGATTGACAGTTCTTTTGTGTTTCTTCCATTTGCGAATAATCGCACCAACTGTTGTCACCTTCTCACCAAGCTGCTTGGCGGCGATGGTCTTGTAGCCCATTCCAGCCTTGTGTAGGTCTACAATCTTGTCCCTGACATCCTTGGAGAGCTCTTTGGTCTTGGCCATGGTAGAGAGTTTGGAATCTGATTGATTGATGGCTTCTGTGGACAGGTGTCTTTTATACAGGTAACAAGATGAGATTAGGAGCACTCCCTTTAAGAGTGTGCTCCTAATCTCAGCTCGTTACCTGTATAAAAGACACCTGGGAGCCAGAAATCTTTCTGATTGAGGGGGGGTCAAATACTTATTTCCCTCATTAAAATGCAAATCAATGTATAACATTTTTGACATGCGTTTTTCTGGATCTTTTTGTTGTTATTCTGTCTCTCACTGTTCAAATAAACCTACCATTAAAATTATAGACTGATCATTTCTTTGTCAGTGGGCAAACGTACAAAATCAGCAGGGGATCAAATACTTTTTTCCCTCACTGTATAAATTAATGATATGTAGCTTCACACTGATTCTTGAAGAATATAGCTTATAAATGCCTCATGATCTTAGTTTAACTGCTGTACCCCCATCAGACCCCAAAATATAAGATTGTTTTACTACAATGTTTGTAAACAAAGAAAATGTAAACATGGCCTCAAAACATGATTAAAACTTTCATTTTGATATCATGGATGGTCAGTCCTTGCATCCATAGCTCTGTCTATGAATTTGAGAGTAGTTACTCCAGCCCCATCCCTCAGCTTTTTACCGAAACAGTGCAGGGAATATGCTTTGTTATTGTTTCAACGGATGATGGCCCATTTAAGTAGAGTATTTGATTCGCTATTCGTAGTGGTTGTCTGCCATCTAGTGGGCAAACAGGGTGAAGTACAACCCCATGTACAGTTGAACATTTCAAGCAGACATTTATGATAGCTAGATGAAAATATATAACTAAACTCATGGTCAGTTGCAGTGGAATTGTAATGCCATCTAGAAGAATTAGCATTTGCAATAGTATTAAAAAGAAAGAGGATGATTTGCAAATAGAATGCAGTGATTTAAATGCATTTGTAATTACCCTGATGAGGACTCAAGGTAATTGAGTAATGAGGAAACACGTAAACCTTCCCTACCAAGACAATACCAACACAGCTTAAATTAATAGCAATGTATTAATGTTTTATTCTAATTACAATAAACAGAACATATCAGTCCCTTATTTGTACAAAAATACCTGAAAAGGTTACAATTAAGATATATAAGCCATTCATCTATTTACAGATTGAAGCAAAGCACAGTATGAATACAGGATCTTTCTCTTAAAAAGAGATACACTTTCTTTTTTTTGTTGCATTCCCTGAAATACATAATCGTTTATATTTATATAGATCTATATATATTTGCTTTACTCCTTTGTACAGTCACTGTATCTTGCTTTGTGACAATATATGCAAAGCACAAGAGTCATTATCGATCACTGGAAAAGGTTCCCATGAACGGTCCAAAGTCAGCTCTAGTTTAGTGCAGAGAAAAAGGTCATCAGAGGCACCTGCTGCGTTTTAGGCTTCTTGAGACAAACAGACTTACACAAGAGAAAAGAGGACACCTTAAATCAACTGTGCTGTACTACTGTTTGGGAGAAACTACTGGTATGCTGAAAGAATATCATAAAGGCCAAACTACTTACTAAAGAAAAAATTGTTTGGTGAAATACTATTAACCCCAAGTTGATCAAAAGAACTACACAATGTATTCGTCGCACATACAAAATCTCACTGGTCTGACAATTTGACCAGTTTTCAACAGGCTCCATGTCAACCCTGAGCAACCCAGTTACATTCATTTCTCTGAAATATAAAAAAGTACATTTACTCAATTCACTTTCATCACTTCACTACTTTGCAGGTGACTCAATGTCACTAGTAACATTCTACTAGTTCATAGCAAGACACTATGTGAAAGAACTCGCCTCTGATATGAAAAACACCTATCTGTATCTAACAGGCCTAAACAGTTAGTGTTGAGAAGTCAGTGGTCTGAGTAGCTTAAGATGACTTGCAGGAACTATGAAAAGATGTATGCCCAAGCCTACTCCAGTTCCATGCCAGCAACATTTCAATATTACAGACATTTGTGAAGAGGTTTTTACATGACAAACATATAAGAAATAAACTTGATATGCACATTAAACCAAATTATAAAAACCACTAAAATAAATCAAGTTTCTTCATTTCCTAAGTAGTTAAGAGTAAGCCAATGCGGTAATAATAGTGATCTGTAACCTAAATACAGTGTTGCATCTACATGGTTTCATATGCTAATATGGTACATTGATTCAGTACACAATTTTTACATGAGTTGCATTTAACATTGTACAGCTAAGATTACCATCGGAGGAGGCAATCCTAACTGATTTCTACTGAAATCATTATGACCAATGGGAAGATATATTGTCCGACATTTTGACCTAATTTAGAAAAGGAGTAGTAAACAGCTTTGGCACCTAACCTGCTCATCGTAATGTCATGATGATGCCACACCCAGAGCCTTATATTAACATGTATATTATATATTTATGGCTCTGGTCACACCCAACAAAACAGTAAAGTGTAGCTCTGAAGTTACTCTCAAAATTCCATGGAAAAGATACTGAAATGGGCATCTAGTGGTGCCATCACATCCAAGCCATTCAAAGGCTTTCTAATTGGATAATACGCATAGCACACTATGTTGTGGAAAAGGCTTGGCTATTTAATGTACTGTACACCAATTTGTTTTTTTGCAAGTGTGGCTCAAGTATTGTGAATCTTCACTTCTGACACAAGAAACAAAGTTCTGATTAACACAAAGTTTAAAGAGTGAAAGTTCTGTAAAATGGAAGACAACTAACTGTAATGAAACGGACAGAGCAACTGAACTGACAACACATGAATTAAATATCCAGATATGAAATTCAATCGATCGACCGTATCAATGAAAGTCACACTTAAGAAGATGTCTAATTTTTAAATATGTAACAAATATGTAATCTAATTCAACCTGTGTGGTTGAAATATTCTTGAGGGGTTCACGTGAAAAGATTTCCTAAATGTAGAAGAATATGTGAGAGAAAGGCATTAAACTGAATATCGATGTGAAACGCATTGTGACTGAAATATTAGTGACTTTTATTCCCCACACTTTTTCTATTGACACCAATTTGGAATGAAAACCATGACATTAGGGAACACCCCTTGCTTTCAACGTTATTTCATAGTAAGTGTTGGTGATAAAATAGTTTGAGTGTTCAAACATAAAAAGCAAGAAGTGAAATATAGGCTATGTAATAATTATGCGGTTCAATCATTCCACGGTAATGATAAAACAGTACCGAACAGCGCTGAGAAAAGAGCTACATTTCAAGTAATCACTCACATCCAGATAAATAAATACATTTGCGAAACAATACTTGAAATGATTGAGTCATTGCATCTTATTTTTAAAAAATGTCATTGTGCAGAACTTGTAGATAGTGTGGCTAATATTCTGTATCTGACTCTATCTAGCTTAAGACACCATAAATAAAATAAAAAGATGGCTCTTTCTTAATGTTGCATTACAGGTAAAAACATCTTTACAAATCTGTGTTCACTGCAACCTTGGACAAGGCTAGATAGTAAACACCCTTCCACTTCAGGGTATCATCCATTACTAGGGCTTCACAGTGTCTGTTCTAAAAACAATCATTCAATCACATAATGGAAAAGAGAAGACTCTGGGCTGAGTCCCAAATGGCACCCTATTCCCGATATAGTACAATACTTTTGACCAAAGCCTTATGGGACCTAGTCAAAAGTAATGCACTATGTAGGGAATACAGTGCCATTTGGGACGCATCCTTGGATTAAGGAGATTGGTCCTCGCAGCAGATGAGTCGATTGATTCCAGTTTCATTCTACAGACAGCACAACAGACAGACTGACATTGGACTGTACACATCAACTCTGAGCTAGTCAGATCACTCTAGTGAATCACAAGAGGTTGGTGTAGTGGTTATATTTCCCTGTGTTCTGATGGAGGGAATGCAAACAGGTAGGTTTAAAAGAAAACTGTGGCACCCTCCCTCCCCAGTGGCCTAAGTTAGGTTTTACTTCTGGTCATATAATCATAACTATGTCTTCAGAGAGCTTACAACATCGAATTACAGTCCACAAGATGGCCACATGCTTACAATGTTTTGACAAAGAAATTATCAGTCTATAATTTTAATGGTAGGTTTATTTGAACAGTGAGAGACAGAATAACAACAACAAAATCAAGAAAAACGCATGTCAAAAATTGTATAAATTGATTTGCATTTTAATGAGGGAAATAAGTATTTGACCCCCTCTCAATCAGAAAGATTTCTGGCTCCCAGGTGTCTTTTATACAGGTAACGAGCTGAGATTAGGAGCACACTCTTAAAGGGAGTGCTCCTAATCTCAGCTTGTTACCTGTATAAAAGACACCTGTCCACAGAAGCAATCAATCAATCAGATTCCAAACTCTCCACCATGGCCAAGACCAAAGAGCTCTCCAAGGATGTCAGGGACAAGATTGTAGACCTACACAAGGCTGGAATGGGATACAAGACCATCGCCAAGCAGCTTGGTGAGAAGGTGACAACAGTTGGTGCGATTATTCGCAAATGGAAGAAACACAAAAGAACTGTCAATCTCTCTCGGCATGGGGCTCCATGCAAGATCTCACCTCGTGGAGTTGCAATGATCATGAGAACGGTGAGGAATCAGCCCAGAACTACATGGGAGGATCTTGTCAATGATCTCAAGGCAGCTGCGACCATAGTCACCAAGAAAACAATTGGTAACACACTACGCCGTGAAGGACTGAAATCCTGCAGCGCCCGCAAGGTCCCCCTGCTCAAGAAAGCACATATACATGCCCGTCTGAAGTTTGCCAATGAACATCTGAATGATTCAGAGGAGAACTGGGTGAAAGTGTTGTGGTCAGATGAGACCAAAATGGAGCTCTTTGGCATCAACTCAACTCGCTGTGTTTGGAGGAGGAGGAATGCTGCCTATGACCCCAAGAACACCATCCCCACCGTCAAACATGGAGGTGGAAACATTATGCTTTGGGGGTGTTTTTCTGCTAAGGAGACAGGACAACTTCACCGCAACAAAGGGACGATGGACGGGGCCATGTACCGTCAAATCTTGGGTGAGAACCTCCTTCCCTCAGTCAGGGCATTGAAAATGGGTCGTGGATGGGTATTCCAGCATGACAATGACCCAAAACACACGGCCAAGGCAACAAAGGAGTGGCTCAAGAAGAAGCACATTAAGGTCCTGGAGTGGCCTAGCCAGTCTCCAGACCTTAATCCCATAGAAAATCTGTGGAGGGAGCTGAAGGTTCGAGTTGCCAAACGTCAGGCTTGAAACCTTAATGACTTGGAGAAGATCTGCAATGAGGAGTGGGACAAAATCCCTCCTGAGATGTGTGTAAACATGGTGGCCAACTACAAGAAACGTCTGACCTCTGTGATTGCCAACAAGGGTTTTGCCACCAAGTACTAAGTCATGTTTTGCAGAGGGGTCAAATACTTATTTCCCTCATTAAAATGCAAATCAATTTATAACATTGTGACATGCGTTTTTCTGGATTTTTTTGTTGTTATTCTGTCTCTCACTGTTCAAATAAACCTACCATTAAAATTATAGACTGATCATTTCTTTGTCAGTGGGCAAAGCTTTATTATTGCGTTGACACCAAGAGAGACCCAAGACCAGAGCGTTCCTTAGCTGTTATGTTGCTTGTTATCACTTGAGGAGCAGCATGGTAGCCTGGTGCCATACTGAATACGTACTGTAGCCAACAATAGAAGGGTTGGTTATAGCACACAGTATAGGACTAGGCTCGCAGCGTGGACCTCAACAGCTATCTACTATGTGGACTTAAATGAGTGGATGAGATGGGGAGTGAATGAATCCCTGTAGTAGTGAATATGTTGGGGGGAGGTTCATGTGGTTATATGTGGAACACTGTATGGTGGAGCTAATGACGGAGTGATTTAACACTGAACTGGATGTAGTGTTGTTGTTGTGTGACTGTTAGAAATCAAAATGCTCCAGACTACTGATAAGAAACTAAAGTGGAGTAAGAACACATTTGATGATGCTGTACTAAAATGGCATGAATACAAAAAGCCTGTGAGGTCACCAAAGAAAGTAAGAAAGAAATGAAGAAAGAAAGAAAGAAATGAAGAAAAGTCCTATGAGAGTGGAATGAATGGATCCTGTGTAGTCCTTGAGTATCCTTCAGCTCCATCCTAAATTACCAGCTCCAGCCTTTCCTTCCTACAGCTTGACAGAGACAGCTGGCCTCGTGATCTGTCTCGTGATGTTCTTTTTCCGAATATCAGATTGTCCATCCATCCCTCCAACACAGGAGGGATTTGCCATTGTTGGTAATGAGAAGAATGAGAGAGTAGAGGAATTCTTCTTCAGTCAGTGTGGAAAGGCCTGTTTCCAGTTTCACAAGTGCCAAACTAGGAAACAATCAGCTTTTCAAAAAGAGGTTGTAGTATAGATGATTTGTAACAAAAAAATACTTTCATTTTGTAAAAAAGTGGCCCAGACTAAACAAAGTCCTGATGATTGTACAAGGAAAATAAAAACTACTTTGATCTCATAAACTGTCACTAAACTGTGTCAGTGGATCAGAGCTTATTGGTGACTATGAATACAAACTTGAAAATGTTTTTTTTTTTTTTAAGAGTTAATAACAACATGGTGCATCTTTATGCTTCTTTATCTCCTCCTTCCTTCCGGAACACAGAGGTCACTGAAGTACACTAGCGTCCATCCTAACCCAACAACCACTCCGTCCCGTTCCGTCCGCAGTCGCCGGCAGCTCATGACACAACAACAACAATATGAGTTCATCACATCAGCCTTTCCTAAAGAAAAAGTATTGAGTTTGTTTTTAGGCAGAGTCCGGTCAAGTCATAGGTCAGGGGTCATAAGGCTACGAGGGTGCAGGGGTGCTTGAGTTTACAAGGCAGTACTCCTCTGTTGAGCTGGTAGAACTCCACCAGCTGGATCAGGTCGGTGAATTTGGTGGACCCGTCGTCAAGGCTGAAGAAGATCTGGCCGTCCTCTTCACACTGCAGGACGGACCATAGAGACAACAGTCAGGTGAGAACAAGAGGAAGTAATGAACAACTAAAGTTACTTTACTCCATAAAATTGTTAGCTGCTTCACTTGGTTTTCTAGTGTGCCTGTAGACGTGAGAGAGAGGGGGAGGTCAAAGAGAGAAGAAGCCCAGAGGCAAGGTTAAGCTCACTTACCGGTAAGATCTGGAAATGCTTGATTTTCTGGTGATGGCACAGTGTGAGAACAAACGCCTTTGGGTTGCTTTGACTGTCCCTCAACAGAAACAACCTGAGCAAAAAAGGGATGAAAATCAGTCTTTGGTCAAAACTTCCAACATCTGTCATTACAAATTTAAATCCAACATATATTGGAATGTGGGCTGGGCATTCTGAAGATGCAAGACACTTTAATAATCAAATAACTCCAAATGAAATAATAGGTTGGCTGTGTGGTTGCAGAGACTGAGGAGCGACTGAGGAGTCTTACCCGTCCACCTGGCCTTGTTGGTGGATCATCCGATGGGACTCTTCTCGCGTTATCCGCCCATGGAACCACAGCTGTGTTCTGTGAATAACTGGACGTGGAAGAGGAAAGGAGAGCTTTAGGACAGGAACAAGGCTTTATCTACACAGAATGTAGCCAACTCAAATAACAAAGCAATTGTGAGAACTTATGTTGTTGAATTACCTGAGCTTAATAAACAGTGATGTAGTGGACTGGGACTCCCTAGAATGTTCATCCGTTGACTTCTCTTCTGTGATACAGAACAAACAAACAAGGATTACTTTGTTAATAAAATGGTTAATAATAATGGTTCTTACTCCATTGGCACAGCTGCGAGACGGATAGTGTGATAGCTTTGTGACAAGCATGACTCAAAGAAAAGTTGTTGCACTCTTGCTCTGATACAACCGATTATTAACAAATCACCAACGTTTCAGCAGTAAGTTTTCTTTCTGACCATTTAAGGTCATATAAGCATTGTAATATCTTAATAACGTTGTAGTTGCGTTGTGGTCACGTTGTAGTAACATTGTTGTAATGTAGTTACGTTGTAGTAAGGTTGTATTATTGTTGTAGAACCATTGTAGTAGTAACATTGTAGTAAGGTTGTAGTAACGTTGTAGAAAGAGACTCACCCTCCAGGCATTGCCCTCCTCCATGGCAGCGCTCTGGGCCTCCAAAGGATTGTCGATCACCCTGCCTATCCTTCCTGAGAAATCCATGGCCACCAGAGAATTCTCCGACACACTCCGCTAGGGGGAGACAAAGCATTGTCAATGTCAATACACTTCCTGTTACAGTACTAGGGCTCTTTCTTAAGTGTCGTTAAGTCCTCCTCTCTCCTCACTTCCTTCTCAAAATGCACTGGACAGGTAACCTAGCGGTTAAGAGTGTTGGGCCAGTAACCGAAAGTTTGCTGGTTCGAATCACAGAAATAGAGGACACAAAGAATCAAGGAAAGACAACCGAGTCTGGATGTTAACAACAGTTTGGCTGGCATGGTGGCTGTAAGGTGCTAAAAGGAGAGGCTTACCACTGGTGTTGAAAAGTGTGACAGAGTTTTTCTCTGCTGAGGAATCTTGTAGTTCTGATAGAGGACTATTCCATACTGTGAAGAATAAGGAGAATATCCACAAATGAAGGGTTAAGTCAACCAATAGCTAACCTTCCAAAATATTCATAAAGTTCATAAAGATATATAGTATTAAAATTAGCATGGTATAACTGACTCTCACAACAACCCGTTTGAACTGAACTTGCATCTAATACACCCTTCTGGTATAACCGAGGCACTACTTTACAGTGTATTGAGGGCTTGTTGCCATAGCCATGAGTACTCCTGAGTGGCGCAGTGGTCTAAGGCACTACATCGCAGTGCTAACTGTGCCACTAGAGATCCTGGTTCGAATCCAGGCTCTGTCGCCGCCGGCCGCGACCGGGAGACTCATGGGCGGCGCACAATTGGCCCAAGCGTCGTCCAGGGTAGGGGAGGGAATGGCCGGCAGGGATGTAGCTCAGTTGATAGAGCATGGCGTTTGCAACGCCAGGGTTGTGGGTTCGATTCCCACGGGGGGCCAGTATAAAAAAAAATATGTATTCACTAACTGTAAGTCGCTCTGGATAAGAGCGTCTGCTAAATGACTAAAATGTAAATGTAAATAGCGTTGGTACCTTGAAGAGTCTGAAGGCTGTCATCCAGGAAGTTCTGCTCTGTTCGTCTTCAGTACACAACATCCTCAACTCCTTAAGCTCAGTCCTCTTGTTGGGCTGTCAATCAACACACAACAACCAATTAAAGAGACCGAACAAACACATAATTAGAAACAACCATTCAGACAGTATGGTTGTACTAAAACCCTCCTCCCTCGTACACTGTGACATATCCCATGAGATGATAGTGGATCTTGTTCAGGGTTGGCGAGTAAAAAAACTAACTGGAACTGTAATCCATTATGTTACCTGCAAATATATTGTAATCAGATTACAGATACTTTTGAAAAACTAAATGATTACTTCTAGGATTACTTAAAAATTCAGAAATTCTTTATGACACCTTTCTGTTTTCTCAATGACATTCAAAATCAGCGTTGAAAAAGGCACAAGTTTAAGTTTTTCCGCCTGAGCAAGTCAGACCTCAGGTCAGAGACCACTATGACGACATCAAATGCATTAGATAGATTGTGGGAAAAGAGCAGGAATAGGCTTTTGTAGGCTACAGTCCAAGCTAAGTCTTCCAATGATGTGACTGCTGTCGGCATCCAAAGATTATTCCAACTTGAATAAACGCTTGGCGGTAAGGATGACAGCAGTGGTGTAGCCTACGGGCGATACGGATATCACTTATTATTGATATCTACTGTTGAAGTCGGAAGTTTACATACACTTAGGTTGGAGTCATTAAAACTTGTTTTTCAACCACTCCACACATTTCTTGTTAACAAACTATAGTTTTGGCAAGTCGGTTAGGACATCTACTTTGTGCATGACACAAGTAATTTTTCCAATAATTGTTTACAGACAGATTATTTCACTTATAATTCACTGTATCACAATTCCAGTGGGTCAGAAGTTTACATACACTAAGTTGACTGTGCATTTAAACAGCTCGGAAAATTCCAGAAAATTATGTAATGGCTTTAGAAGCTTCTGATAGGCTAATTGACATCATTTTAGTCAATTGGAGGTGTACCTGTGGATGTATTTCAAGAACTACCTTCAAACTCAGTGCCTCTTTGCTTGACATCATGGGAAAATCAAAATAAATCAGCCAAGACCTTCGAAAAAATATTGTAGACCTCCACAAGGCTGGTTCATCATTGGGAGCAATTTCCAAACGCCTGAAGGTACCACGTTCATCTGTACAAACAATAGTACGCAAGTATAAACACCATGGGACCACGCAGCCGTCATACCGCTCAGGAAGGAGATGCGTTCTGTCTCCTAGAGATGAACGTACTTTGGTGCGAAAAGTTCAAATCAATCCCAGAACAACAGCAAAGGACCTTGTGAAAATGCTGGAGGAAACAGGTACAGAAGTATCTATATCCACAGTAAAATGAGTCCTATATCGACATAACCTGAAAGGCTGCTCAGCAAGGAAGAAGCCACTGCTCCAAAACCACCATAAAAAAGGCAGACTACGGTTTGCAACTGTACATGGGGACAAAGATCTTACTTTTTGGAGAAATGTCCTCTGGTCTGATGAAACAAAAATAGAACTGTTTGGCCATAATGACCATTGTTATGTTTGGAGGAAAAAGGGGAACGCTTGCAAGCCGAAGAACACCATCCCAACCGTAAAGCACGGGGGTGGCAGCATCATGCAGTGGGGGTGCTTTGCTGCAGGAGGGACTGGTGCACTTCACAAAATAGATGGCATCATGAGGAAGAAAAAGTATGTGGATATATTGAAGCAACATCTCAAGACATCAGTCAGGAAGTTAAAGCTTGGTCGCAAATGGGTCTTTCAAATGGACAATGACCCCAAGCATACTTCCAAAGTTGTGGCAAAATGGCTTAAGGACAACAAAGTCAAGGTATTGGAGTGGCCATCACAAAGCCCTGACCTCAATCCTATAGAAAATGTGTGGGCAGAACTGAAAAGGCGTGTGCGAGCAAGGAGGCCTACAAACCTGACTCAGATACACCAGCTCTGTCAGGAGGAATGGGCCAAAATTCACCCAACTTATTGTGGGAAGCTTTTGGAAGGCTACCCGAAACGTTTGACCCAAGTTAAACAATTTAAAGGCAATGCTACCAAATACTAATTGAGTGTATGTAAACGTCTGACCCACTGGGAATGTGATGAAAGAAATAGAAGCTGAAATAAATCATTCTCTCTACTATTATTCTGACATTTCACATTCTTAAAATAAAGTGGTGATCCTAACTGACCTAAGACAGGGACTTTTTACTAGGATTAAATGTCAGGAATTGTGAAAAACTGAGTTTAAATGTATTTGGCTAAGGTGTATGTAAACTTCCGACTTCAACTGTACATAGTGCATTGATGTGAATCACACTGCTGCTCTGTCATTTAGTTATTTGCGTAGTTATTGTGGTTGTTGTGGATGGCTGTTTACATATGTATATGTGTATTTTAACCCAATAATGGTTGAATTGACGAAGTTAAAGCTGCCTATCAATCATTGTTTTTGCAACCAGTGGACTGCGAGTTAAAAAATGCACTCCCTCAACAGCTGCATAGTGTGGATCCCAGCCTATGGAATGAACGTTTCAATTCCTTCCTTCTAAACTCCTCTGTGGCATTGTGCTCCATACCGTCAAAAACAAGTTTCATTTAAGAAGACCACGAGTGGGGCTTTTATTGCTCAATCTAATTTGTGCTGATTCAAAATGTCCATGGGCCTAACGGATAAATGCTCAAATGCGCACACTTTTGATAGACTTAAACAGCTGCAAATGATCAAGATACTAAAGTGTCACCAACAAAAATTTAAACAATAGGCCTATAGCAAATGCAGCTTATGGCATACATTTTTCATATGCAAATAGCACTTATCGGTAGTGCTCAAAGCATGCCATTCCATGAGAGCAGCATTTATTTTTCAACTCGAAGCAATGAGCCCAATCAGTCCTTCATGACAACAAAATCATAAACAACAGAGTAGGCTAATAAGTCCTTCGTTTTTGGGTTGTACTCAGGTAAAACAATTTGCCTATTTCCAGGTCCTATTCTTGAATATCAAGGGGTAATAAATTAATTGGAATGACTGTAAATACTGTAACCTAATCGTATTATTATATGTATAAAAGTAAAAAGAATGGGTTAGAAGAAGCCAACATAACAAACCCATAAAGTAAAATGCAACATCCATTTATGGCCAGCTATGTAACCTCTAACATTGATTTATTCTGCAATAGATGTTGTTCAATTGGTAATATAATGTTTTTTCTTCTTCTAATGCCTCTTAGGGGAAAGTAATCTAAAAGTAACTGAAAGTAATCAAATTCCATTACTGAGTTGGGGTAATCCAAAAGTGTCCAAAAGTTATGTTACTGATTACAATTTTGGACAGGTAACTAGTAACGGATTACATTTAGAAAGGAACCTACCCAACCCTGATCTTGTTGCAGAATAAAACAGGATTTTGTTTATTATATAGCCAGAAAGTGGGTCAACACAGACCACACAATTGCACCGAGGCCTGCCTCTTGTCAGGCATGTCTTAGCAAGATACAGGATGCGTACCAAATGGCAACCTATTCCCTATATAGTGCATCATTCGGGAAGCTGACACAGTCTAGACACGACACTGTTCAATAACTGTAATAGGAGACGGCTAGTCCTTCACAGAAGACAGTGGAATAATAGACAACATATGAGCGTCTGAATAACTTGCAATGCCTCGCGTGCAGAGGTTTTCCTTTCTCTTGAACGTACCTTTATACAGAACTCGTAGTCTGTTGGCGCACTGTGTAGCTTCTTGCCTGTTGTTACTGTGAAGACATTGCTGTCCTCCAGGTCTGCTAGTAACTGTAAATGCCTGGGCTCCTGTGGAGGATAAATCAATAGCCGATGTCATTTCATCACGAAGAAACCTAAGCCTGGAGGTAACAGAGAGCAGAGCTCCACTCAAATCAATAGCAGCTTGTGTGGATGTATGGGAGCTAGAGAAGGCAGGCAAATCTGAGCAGCAAGTATGTACACTGATGATTGAGGCAAGCAGCCTCTTAACTAACAACTAAAGTATTAGACTTTGTAGGCTATTACTAGTGCAGTTCAAATGTGGGATATTGGCTCAAGGATTCAGTAATACAAGCCTAATACTAACATAGTTAGTGTACTAAGCATACAGTAGAAGAGAGTTGGCCATGTACCTTTGACGTTCCTTTCGTAGAAAAGTAAAGTCCTGAGCGTCTAAGGAACACATACAGCTTCTTCCAGGATTTCCTGCCCATCTCTTTCACGTATAAAAAGCCCTGGATCTCAGGACAACTGCTGGAGTTCAATAAATTCTGAGAGAAGGAGAGAGAGAGAGAGAGATGGCGGCTTTAGCACACAGCTATCATAATAAAATATCATCATTTTTATGGGGCTCGGAGAAGAAAAAAAAAACACCCGTTCCTTCCTAGCCAGAAAACAAACATTTATATAACGAACAATCTTAGCATTCTTGTGATACCAATTTTTATGATCCACCTTAAACATGGGAGAGAAATGTTCAGACAGATGTTCTGTCTTACGTAACAGTATCAACCAAGACACATGCACACTATATAGACCATTCAAAAAGGAGTTCTGATTCTGACAGCAAGTTGTTCCAAGAACTGACTGGGGCGATAAGATAAGCACCAACTAGTTTTAACATGCCCTGCTCTTTTTTACAGTACCAGCCCTAATACAGCACTCTCTCTGCCACATTCAGACACTGTCTCCTGACCTGACAAGATACTAACTAAAGCTGCAATATGTAACTTTTTGGCGACCAAATTCACATAGAAAGTGTGTTATAGATCTGTCATTCTCAAGTCTAAAAAGCAGTAGATGTGTTTTATAAGCGCTATTTCTATGCTTCCTGTTCTTAAGTTTCGCTTTTGCATCTTTTACTTTCGGCTTTGTACACCAGCTTCAAACAGCTGAAAATACAATATTTTGGGTTATGGAAAATATATTTCACAGCGGTTTAGATGGTACAATGATTCTCTACACATAAACTGAAAGTAGGCTAACTATTAGAATTTTTGCAACCAGGAAATGGCCTTTAAGCGAAAAGATCCACTGTTTATGATCTGCCTTCACTGGATTCCTGGAACCTCCCCCAGCCGGCTCCTTCAATCTGACCATGTCAGGGATGTTATCATTTTAAAAGCTTTCTGCCATAGTGGATGGATTCCAGTCATGGCCCTTTAATGACGCTTTGTCACACTACTACATCTGCAGGCTGAACATGTAAACTTCATTCCATTAGAGCCTCAGGTCTTTAAAGACACCATGCATCTACGCTGTGCTGCCTGGCACAGGATGGGAGGATGATGGCCTGACGTGCTGTGCTATAACATTCAGTACGTTCCTTTACTCTCCCCTCACAGTTGCTTCCTTTCAGAAGCTGTAATGTCTGTCTGTCTGTCTGTTTGTCCTTCTGTTAGGCACGCCTGGCCTGCGTGTGCAGAGACACTCGTATGTCAACAGAACATCAAGTGTTACAGTCTGTTCTCTGACAAGACATGCACAAGGAGGTCAAAGGTCAGACTTTTGAAGGAGATCAGACATACAGCACACAACAGAGACTGAAGTATGCAGTATGCTAAGGTAGTGGAGTCTTTACGGTTCTACGGTACATACCTGTAAAAGTTGAGATGGTGGGATTGCACCATTTGTTTCCTGGCACCACGCAATCATATGCTCGGGAAAGAAATTCTGTTGGTAAGTGAGAGAGGAAAGCAGTCGTTTAGCGAGGAGGTTGTGGGTAAAAGGAAACTCAGAAGGATGGAGGTGGAACGCCAAGAGACATTAAATTAATCCCCTGTCCCAAATTAAAATGAAGAAAAACCTTCAACAATAACATTTTTCTCATAGCTTTTCAAACTAGTTTCAAACTGTTTCTGAAATAAGTACGTTTAGGGCCAGTTTCCTGGACCATGGTTTAGCATTTCTGAGTCCTGGACAGTTATATCCAACAGTCTAACAGTATTATCAGAAGGGGACAATCTGTTTATTTTTATGAGTGTGAGTGAAAGATGAGGCCCACTTGATTGTGAGGGTGTACTAGGATTTTTCTGGGTAATATTCTAAACTTAACAAGCCCAACCAAACATTTACCACTCATTTAAGAAATGCATAGCTTGTAAACGAAAAAGAACATCCAGGCTGTTTAGCTTGTTGTAACTGTTTACACATGTAGATAATATAAATAGGACAAGCAAAAACGCTGGGATTCTTTGGAAATAAACAAACAAAAAAACAACCTACCAAGGGATTTCTGAAGAATTCATATTTGGCATAGTTCTTCCTGAACAGAAATCTGCCCTCGCTGGTCATGGACGCCTGCACTTGTACCACCAGCTCATGGTCCTCCAAGCACCTCTCTGTAGAGAGAGAGAGAGAAAGAAGGAGCTAGTTACCAAATGGAAGGACACAATATCACATGTCTTTAACAAGAAAAAGAACAACATTTGTAATAATTTTCATGTCCTGAACATAGGGTAAATAGAGCAAATGATGAAAGAACAAGCAGTTCAGCCTATGACCCCCCCCCCCACCCTCCACCCCACACCCTTATCCCAAACTTGCAGACAAATCAGCATGTTCTCACTATATTCCAGGGTTGGGGTCAATTCCATTTCAATTCCAGTCAATTCAGAAAGTACACAGAAATTCCAATCCCAATTCTCTTCAATGCTTTTCAATGAGGAACATTTGGAATTGGAATTTGGTTTACTTTCTGAATTGACCCCAACCCTGCTATATTCCTCTCCCCCATCCTGTCGATGTCTTGAGCATACATTCACTCCCCCCTCTCTCAAACAATTAGTGGGGCTATGCTGCTATGCTCTACAGGCCCTGCTGTCTGCCTGGACCACTGACCCTGCCTGGCCCCTGCTCTCCATGCAGGAACACATGTTTCACATCCAACTGTGGAATCAGGATTCCTAAATAGATTTTGGCAGCAGGAAAGGAGACACTGGGGACTGGGGAGGAAGGGCCCAGGCTCTCTTGAATTCATTCAGAGGAAGAGAAAGAGGAAACAGACAATGTGGAAGTTTTCAGAAACTATGTGTGTAGTTTCATATTGATGTTGCAACCTGGTTGGATTCCAGTCCGCTTATATCCTAAAAAGATTGAGAGCCAATCCAATGTTGTGCAGTATCTCATCTACCTTGCCTTTACTGAGGCTCTTTGGTGAGTCACTTCCTCTTTGACCATGAGTCAGTCAAGCCCCTGACTCACTAGCTTAAAGCCTGTAGAGGTTGTAACCCTTTGTGGGGGAAGCTGAGGGAGTGTCATTGGCCATTAGCTCTCTCTCTCTCTCTCCACCCCCACTGATTGTCCAGTTGTCTTTCAACTATCTCCTCTGGACTCCCCCATCCTGAAGAGATGACTCAGTAATGACAGAAGCTTTAGCCTTCTTTATACCAGGGAGTCATGGACCCCATCTCCATTTTGGATCTGTGTGTCTCCCTGTCTTTCCCAGTTTCCTCCTTAGTGAGGGGATTGGGAGCAAGGTTGGGAAAGCAACATATCTAATTGGCTGGATGTCATTCTTATACAACAAGGCCCATCTGGACAGGCCTGGTCAGATTAAGGAGCAATTAGGAAGAGTGACCTTGCCTTGCCTCTAGTGGACTGGACTCACCATAGACAGCCTGCCCTAGCTCCATTCAGGAGGCTTCTAAAGGTCAGATCAGCCCTGGTTACTTTTACAACGAATTGAGGTTGCGTCCCAAATGGCACGCTATTACCTTATAGTGCAATATAATGACTTGTAGTGCACTATAAGAAAAGAGTGCCATTTGAGATGCATCCATTGTCTGTATTGAGTAGGCCAGAGTTTGGCCATTGTAGAGGGATGATGTCATACTGGCTATCCCAACTGCACTTAACACGGTTTTGGCAGCGCTGACACCAAACCAATCAGAACAGATCATGTGACGGTATTTTAAGAGCTTTAGAGGCCTGTGCTTCGTATATGTAATATTGTTGTGTTCTAATCGTCATACAATGTGATTAGTTTAAAGATGTTTTAAATAAATATGCCACTTCCTTTGGACTATAATGCGCTCAGGATATCAAAAGCAAATTGACGTTTATAAGCAAATTCATAAAAAAACATTCAAAACCTGGATATTTCAGACACACATATCAATATGAACTACACTATCTTCACATATGCAACATAAAACCTAAATAATTACTGCAAATAATACGCATATAATTGTCACCCTTTCTGTTGTGCGTACATATTGTGTAGCCTATATTTCAGTGTTTAGACCTAAACGTTCCCAGAAATACAGTACTCTCATTTTACCCATCTGTTATAATGAAGATATAAGCCCAGACACAACATGTGCTTTATAATTGCTCGTTCCTTAGGGGGTTAAAGTTTGGAACATTCTGCTTCTCAGAACTCTAACAAATCACTGCAATGCCGCCACATTAAGCGTTCCACATCTTGACTTACACAACCTAATTTAAACTAATCTAACATTCAGTGAAACTAGCGTTATCCTGTTCAGATACAGTGTAAACCCAAAGTAAAGTCCCTGTACACATGTTGACTAGCATGGGGGGGAGGGACACAGCAAGGTACCTGTATGATCCAGTGATCGCTACTCCTGGTCCAGAATTAGATAATAAAGGACATCTCTTACCATATTATGGTACATTCTTATCTCTAACTGTAAGTGACCATATATCCATTCTCAGGTACTGTAACAAACTAAGGTTTGGGAGAGTGATGTCAGGAGGGTTCCTGCGTCTCAAATGGCACCCTATTCCCTACATAGTGAACTTCCTCTAACAGGGCTCTGGTCAAAAGTAGTGCACTATATAGGGTGCCATTTGGGACACAAGAAAGGTCATAGTCTCAGCGATCAGCTCCATCACCTTCACTGGTATCATCTCTTGATCAATAACATCACCCAGCCTTACTATGGCACCACCCCCCTCAGCCAAGCCAAACTTTTACACCAGATTCTGAAACTTAAAAACTAGGAGCAGGCATAGACATGCAGCTAAAGACTGTTAATCAAAATAATGATATACAAGAGAAAATATAGGCTATAGATGTAGGCTATCTATTATTTATGATGACTCTAGGTTCATTATCCTGTTGGTTTCTCACAGAGCGAGGGCCAAGGGGGGAGGGGGCGCTAGCCTATGTCCTGCCAGCCAGCCTGCCTGCCCACCAGCCCACCCATCCAGCACACAAGGTTGCCACTTACCTAGTCCGAGAAGGGGGTGATGCTCAACAAGCACCCAACTGTTGTCGTCCACACAATGGCTTTTGGACACGAGGAGCTGGCAAAGATCTCTGGCAGTCATGTCGGCTGGTATTTCTACTACTTTCCCCATGCCGTCCTCGCTGAAAATTTTTATAATCTAAAAGAGAAAAGAAAAGGCCCTTTCATGTTAGAACTATTCCCAGACACAACCTCGTAGGCAGACAGACATAATTCAGATAGATGAGATGCATAGTTCAGGCGTAGACAGGCATAGTAGTATAACTAGATAGCACAACATTTGCAATATAGTACCAAGAGCTAATTCACTTTAATTCATAACCATGCGTGTTTGATGAGCATACCAGACATATACAATACATTCTCAATGACAGGGGTTTGTGGGAAAATATAGATTATATAAACATAAATGTGACACTCATCAGAATCATACTTCAAGCTTAAATACTAAGGGGACCGTTTTAGTCCTTCAATCCACACCACCTGTTTCCATAGAGATTACCCACTGACAGAATTAGGCACAAAGATACTGTATAGAAAGATACTGTATAGAAATACACTGTATAGAAATATACTGTAGAGAAAGACACTATATAGAAATATACAGTATAGAAATATACAGTATAGAAATACACAGTATAGAAATACACTGTATAGACACTGAAAGATACAGTATAGAAAAATACTGTACATGAAAATACTGTATGGAAATATACTGTATAAAAGATACTGAAAGATACTGCATACAAAGATACTGCATAGAAAGATTGTGTATAGAGATACAATGTATAGTATATACTGTATAGAAGGAGAGTGTATAGAATGATTCAGTATAGAACAAGATACTGTATAGAAAGATACTGAAATATGCTGTATAAAAAGATGCTGTATAGAGGAATATAGCGCATTAATAGAAACAATGGATAAATCCCCCTCTGAGCACAGATCCTATTTCCTCTGGTTCCCCCAAAGAGATTTTAGCAGGAATTTAGCTTCCTTAGCCTTCCCACTTAGGCTACAGTACACTCACTTTGAACATGATGTCTTATAAAAAAGTCAAATTCTCATTCCCTTCTCTAGCTATAGCTTCAACAAATTCAAAGCCTTACAACAGAACATCAAAAACTATTTCTCCTTTCAAGCGGGCTTCGATTCATTCTGAGCCTCTCACATATTCCCTCCTCGCTCGTCATATCTTTAAAAAAAGACAAAATATCTTCGACCTTCAAAGCGTATACTTTAACCCTCGTCTCAGCGAACCTTCGTCAGACTTCAGAGTAAAAAGGGAAAAGCGGTTAAATATGTCTATGAGAGCTTACCTCTACGGCCTGTAACAGGCAGCAGTCCGGAGAGCACGATGGCATTTTTGGAATGAGCCTGCCTCCGCACAGAACACACACAGACGAACAACCCTTTCTTTTTCCCTCTCCACAACTTGGTTAAAAAAAAGACTGTAGTACAGCACAGTTCCTTCCTCTCTGTCAACGGCTGCCTGTTACGGTACCTGTCACAATCTCCCTCTAGCTCTCCTCTCCTCTGCCTAATGCAGGATAGAGCAAGCAGATGGCACTATTTCCAGTCCGGCTAGCTGACAACTTCCCTCTGCTTCCCTCACAAAGGGTTACAGCCATGGGCTTTAAGGTAGTGAATCAAACCACACTTCCCTAACCAATCATAGGGCTCGCTCAGGCTGATGTAATCATTCCCACACAGACACACACTCACACACCCTCGCTCTCTCTCTCTTTCTCTCTCTCTCACACGCACGCACGCACAGACTCACATACACAGATGCACAGTCATGCACAGGCTTTTTCAGGCTGCTGCTCTGAATAGCTTTCGGATTCTTTTTGAGTAAAAGCGAAAATGATCATTTAAGAGGGGTGTGGGGCAGAGGAAAAGTTGTTTTAACCTCCCAACATGTTCTGAAGTTTCAAGTGAAGGCTTGTTTCTTTTCTTTTGTCTCTCAGTGGCTCAGCTTTGAACTTTGCAGTCAGAAATCTCTCTCACGACAGCGCACGGCTCATTACGGGCTAAATGAAACAAACCTGAGTACTTGAACTTCTCGTTGGCCTCCCCTCGAGTCTAGCTTCATGCCAACATTCTTTCTCTCAAAAGAACAAAACCCGGAAACTTAGTGTTTTCACTATTCGGCTCGCCCCCCACCCCCATTATTTGTTTTACTTCAGATACTTAATACACCACTGACTGGACTGACAAAAGCTCTGCCCCACCCTGTCTGGAGTAGACATTTAGCCTATGTCCTTTCAACATCTCTCATCTCAATGGGTCAATATCTGTATACAAAACACTATGCTCATGGGAGAAGGAGGATAATGGGAGGTCTTAAATAACAGTTCCAGTGTAGGAAGCAGGAAGCAGCCATAGTGGTCAGGGAGGATGATTTAGGGTTTCACTACTATTGCCACGTTCAAAACAACTGGGAACTCGAAACTGGGAAATCTCAGACTTCCAATTTCAGTGCGTTTATGACAACTGGGAACTCGGGGAGCTCCAACTGGGAAAATTCGTTTTGAACGGTCTTCCAACTCGGAATTCCAAGTCGGGAAATCGGGCCTCTTTCTAGAGCTACGACCTTCCAACCTGAAGATCCCGGACGTCATGATTCAAATTAGATTTTTTAAGTTTCCAGTTGTTTTGAAAGCACCATAAAGCCTTAAAGAGAGCGGGGCTATGGCGGGGGAGGGGAGTATGACGAGACAGAGGAGTGGGTGGGAGGAAGAGAGATAGAGACAGAGAGAGAGAGAGGAAGAGAGAGAGAAAGAAGAAAGAGACATAAGTAGATGGGAAGAGATAGTGAAAGATAAGAGAGAGATAGAAAGAGAGAGATAAGTAGAAGGAGAGATAGTGAAAGAGAGGGAGAGGGGAGGGAGAGAGAGCAGATACACAGAGACAGACAACAGTGAGAGGTGATAGACAGTGAGGTGGGTGAGAGAGAGAGTGAACAAGAAATAGAGAGAAAGAGAGAGAGAAAAGAGGAGGAAAAAGAATGTTCCGTGATAGTATTAAGTAGGGCTATGTCCAGTAGTAGTAGGACTATGTGTAGTATACATGCCACTATACTAGACTTCCAGCTGTCACTGCAGCCACACCCCTCTCCTCATTGACTTGTCACTACCTCACTACTGGCCTGCCTGGTGAGTCAGTGGGGAAAACCCCATATCACATGCCTACCATGCTGTAATACAACAGGACACACTCCTACGGCCAGCAGCTAACACTCCTTACGTGACATGAGATAGGACAAGCCAGTACTACACCACTATACCTATTACATCACCATTACATAGTCATTATTATCCTAGAATACATACTGTACTGGATATTATGAAGAGAGGTCACATGTTTTTAAATGTGTGTAGAGGAGGTAACAAATACACACTTCAGGGGATAGAGAATTTGAGCGCAGGGTCCCAACTTAACCGAACAAGAACAGGAACATTAACTCTCAACCTTTAAGTGGAAAATGTTTCAATCCGAAATTGCATCCCAATGTGATGAAAGGAACGGAAAGACATTCAACTGAGTGATGAGGACTGAGGAGACATGGCACGCTTCCTTGACCTACTCCACTTCTTTTTTCTAAAAGAGAAAATATGTACTTGTGTGTGGGGTGGTAAAGAGAGAGGGAAAGAAAGAGAGAGAGGGATGTAGGGAGGGGAGAAAGAGAGAGGGAAAACGAAAGAGAGGAAGGGGAAGAGAGAGAGACAGAAATAAAGAGAGGAGAGGGAGAGAGGCAAAAAGAGAGAGAGCGAGGGGCAGAGAGAAAAAGCAAGGGGGGAGAGAGAGAGAGAGCGTGCTGGGTTGTCTTCCTGTTCTCTCTGAACACTATTCTCATTCAGTGGTGGGCCTCCGGGATGACTCAGGACTTGTGATGTAATTACCCAGGGACAAGCTGCTGAGAGCCCCAAGCAACACACACACATGCAATGTCCCTCTTCAGCCACTCTCATTCTCTCACAAACACACACATTAAAAGCACAACATTTACATCAGCGATGTGTTCAAAACTCTAGATTACTGGTTATTACTGGTTACTAGTATCTTAGGGATGATTAACCTCAGTCTAATATGGACTTCAGTAGAAATTGATGTTTTACCATGCTAAGTACTGTAAATGGTGCCATTTGGGACGCAGCCAATGAAGATGGCACTGATATCTCGTTTGGGTCTTCAGTAAGTAGGCTACAGTAGTGGTAATTCCATAGAATTAGAATGCGTAGAACATAGTGCACCCATGAGTTTACCAGTGAAACTGCCCAGGTTAGAGGTTCCAAGTCTATTCTGTTCATTCTATTTCTATGGGTATTTCCTCCTCTGACCTGATCTCTTTGAGAGGCATTTTATATTTAATATAGCCTACTGTACCAGGCCATAAAATAACATTTTATTGGCTATGACATAAGAAGCAAGGAGTAAGTGGTGGAACCAATTGACTGTGACGATACCAGTCTCTCAATATTTCCATGGCAAAAATTAAAACACAAAGCAGACCAAATTCTTTGGTCCTTTAAAAACCTGCGGTTTGTAAAACATTGTGTGCTATAGCTTGGGATATAAATAAATGTGACTCTGGATGACAACATAATGATGTTTGTTTTCAACATTAGGGCTTGTTTTCCTAAAGAAGTTAAATCTGCTTTGTATTTTGTTTCCTTGCCGCGATACCGTGATACTGGTATCATCCCGGACCTACAATTGAATACCTTTAGGTGTAAATCTTCTTCATAAGAAAAACCTGAGTTCAATTAAATCTCTAAGGAGGTGATTCTAAATCTAGTGCTTCTCTGTAGGCTTACTCCATTATTAAGTTATTAAAAACCAAAACCAAAGAAGTGGCTCTACTCTCTTATCCCCCCAAAAAACAGGCATTGATTAAACAGTGTTGGCTAACGGTCGACTGAGCGGTGGTCTCGCCCCTGCTCTGCAACCCACCAACAAACCAGTCCCGTTTACAAGTACCTCTTTAATGAAGTCAAATGTACTGTGTGCTCTGTGTGGTCTCTGAACTGCAGTGGCCATTGACATCCACTAATGAGAATGTGAGACAAAACCTTGTGGAATAAAGACAATAGACTTTTCAGTGGAGCCTGCCATGTCCTGAGCTTCACTCGCTGCCTGCAGCCCGCTGGCCCGGGGGGAAGTGCTAGGCTGAGTCGGCCTCTAAAAGGAACGCTACGTAAATACTGCTGACTCACGAGGTGGACATGAACAGCTCCTTGTTGTCTAATTTTTGTGTCAAATTAAGCGCCCCCAAAGAGGGGATTTATCCAGGCTCACTATAGCAGCATAATGACCAGAACATCAGCCAGGACTAAAATGGGGGCTTTCGGATGCACAATACCAAGTCATGTACAATGCACTCTCCCTTCCACACAGTTAGTTAGTTAGCTAGGTACAGAGCAACAGAATATATAATAATGCACGTTTCGCAGTGTATTTAGCAGATGCTGGGGCCAGTTAAAACAGTACTTTGCTGTTTTCAGAAGTGAAGAGATGTGGATGAACTAACGCCATACTGTGGTTAACATCTAGGCCACAGTGACTACTCATCCCCATCGAACTCCCACATGCAAACCACCCAGCTCGTGGCTGAAACTCAACCATATCCCATTGATATAACGAACGTTAGCCATGGGAGTACAGTACAGGGCCGCCCAGTCAAAGAAAGTCAGTCTATTGGCTCAAAGGGAATGATGAAAAAACTAGTCTCTTTGGAAAAACAATGATTAGGTTATAATATATGACTAACTCAGTATATATCATTTGTTTCTGGTGGGTCCAGATATCAGCATATGTTCCAAAAATGCTGAATAACTTGACTCATTAACTAAAACTCAACAAGTTACCACTATGGAATGCACCCCCAAAACCAAACAATCCCTCAGTTCCTTAGTCCCTTCAAACCAGAACAAACCACAAGCAAAAAGACCCACAGTCGGTGTCTATATATAGATCAAATAGAGGCTGATCCATCGGCTCTGTGCATTCCTCTGGGAAGAATCCCCCCTGAGCGGAGCCTGAAGTGCCCATACCTCCTCCCTGCCACACAGATCACATCGGCCCCAGCCTCCAACTCCAACAATCCCCTTTGAATGGCCGAGTTCTTTCCCTGCGGCTACCTACTGAGATCAATCCAGAGAGGAGCCAAATATTTCCCCAATAAGAGCAGGCTGGTTAATTGCGCAGCAGGGGCCTGGGTAGCACCCTTTTAGGCCACCGCACTGCAGATCATTGTCCCCTTAAGGGATTCAGGGACTGCCATTGGGCACTCACAAAGGATGGCATCATTACATTTTGACTACACAATAAAACCAGCCGCCCGCAAGCTGCACTCACTGTA